TCAGGAGAAGCTGCTCAAGTGGAACTTACTTCTCACCAATGGAATACGGAAGTAATAAGAGTGGTTCGCTATAATGGGCATAGCATGCTGGGTTCAAGCCATGAAGGTGATAAGTGGTGGAATCAAGTAGAAGTGAGAGTCCTGCGATATCTCATCTGTGAGAGAGGGGGTTGCAGGGTGGAAAATAATTTGTCACCCCCAAGGACACGAAGAGGCTTTTGAACTCTATCGAGACTGGTAAGGAAGGACTGGGCAGCTCCTACCTACATATGACATCAGTACTCCGTTTTAGGCCTGATCTGGCTTTTGTAAAAATAGGTGATAGGACGAAGAATCCGGTGTTTACCCGATTACGGATGCATTCCGCTTGCAGGCGCATTTGGTCTTAAAGGATTTAATGTAAAAATTTACAATAAATCTATTGAGCAAGTTACTGAATTTGTGCATTTGACAGACAAAATGTTAGCTTCCAACAATCCTGCAACTGTACGAAATTACGGAATAGGCATAGAATGCATAAATTTGGGGAAAAAAAAATAAAACAATACGAAAATCGAATAATCCCACAACACACTAAAGTCAAAATATATAAAACATAAGATCTGAAAGAACGTTTGTACGAAGTTGATAGCATGAAAAATTTTCTGGGGAATGCCAAGGTTTTCCAGAATCACTTTATATTTAATTACTGTTCAAAAGCCAATAAAACAAAATCAAATACGACAAAAGCTTCTCATTTTGTTTGATGAAATTAACAGGAAATCACTTAAACGTTCTGATCACAGCAAATGTTAAAAAACTTTCAGAATTTTGTCAGTATTATATCATGACCATATAAAAGAGACCAAAATAAAAGAGATCAACTAATTAAAACAGATAACGTATATAACTGAGCATATATATATATATATATATATATATATATATATATATATATATAAATGAACAAAAAAAACACGAACACAAGTTCGTTAAAAAATTATCAAAAATGCCCCAAACTTAATAAAAACAAAGCTTTATCATCAAAATCATTGTTATTATTAAAAGGAAAGACCAAAGGATTTTGATTAAATTATATGTTTTACCCGATTTACAATGTCCAAAATTTTGCGTCGGTACGGTGACCATAAATTAGTATAAGAAATTTTATCATTTTTTTTCGGTGTGAAATACATTCATTTGGAAATTCTTGCAAAAGTCAAGTAATGCCGGATTTTAATGAGATTTTAAAGACTTATTCACAAATGAATGAAATTATTTTAGAAATGTTTCTCTTTAGAAAATCTTGATAGAAACATTTCTTTTTTAAATCTGTTACCACCCATTATTTAATTTTATGAAATTTCGAGAAATTCATATTTCTGCCGTTTAATGTTTATATTAGTTATACTCTGAAATCCTTGGAGAATTTAAATCATCAATTTTTTTTTTTTTTTTTGTCAAACTGGACATCTAGTTAATGAAAATGTGTTCTAAACCGTAAAATAAAAAAAAATGCAATAAAACTAAGACACTATCAAATTAGAAAAGTTTTTAATTGCTTTTATGAATAAGATGGACACTATTGCCTTAAAACGAATAATTGATTTTTACAAGAATTGTTTACATTTTTTACAAATTTTAATTAGAATAATTTATAAAGTTTTAACTCTTTTAAAATTCTGTATTAATTTGTATGGGTTAGATGATTTTGTTATTAAGAAAGCTATATTTATTAATCATAAATCAAAAAGCTGACTCCTAGTATTTTAAAAAGAATTTCGAATTTGTTTTGTGCAGGTATAAATTTACGGATTTTTGTAAATACGTATGTCCATACACTAAATTATCAGAAAATAAGAGCAATAACTATAGTAAATGTAAAACCAAAGTATCTAAATTTTAACAAAACTTTAGATTATGGGGAATATTTTCCTAAATTTTTAAGATGATTAGGTAATTTGAAATTATATAAAAAAAGTTCTCACTTTATAGTCAAGTAATCTTTTACAGATATGTTCTCCGGAGAAAAAAAATTAGTTAAATTTTCGGTTGTTAATCAAGCTGTCAATACCTTAAGCCCATGTTAAAAAAATGCATTTTTACAATATTTTAAACTAAAAGCAAGTAATATTTGTTTCAAATCAGATTAATTAAACTTTAAATCAGCTAATATTCCTCAAATAAATTTTCAGAAAAGTATATTTTATTTTGAAGATTTTTTAATTAAGATTGTAATGTCAGATGGCTAAAAATGACTAAAATCAGCAGTTTTTAGTGATTTACAAAAAAAAAAAAAATGCAAGTCAATTTAAAATAGTATTGAAATACAGCAAATAATTTGCTTATTTATCATACCTGGACGTTATCTGTTTGTCTGGAAGGAACGTATACAAGTCTACTTAGAAAATCAGTTGGAGATCCCATACAATGCTTAACACAATTTACGGAGAGCTCTTTTAAGCTCAAACAAAAACGATTACAGGTTGCCGGCCACTGCGACCGAGCGGACAGGGAAATCGTCTCATCTTTACATCTTTCTACAAGTGTCTTCTCACGAAAATTGACTTTCCCAGACACCATAGCTCGGGACTCAGAATTGGACATTAGGGATCTGGGGACAGCAATGCAGGACTTAACAGCGTGGAAAGGGATTGTCAATGGAGTTGCGACCAACTTTTTTTTTTTTTAAGCATTTCACCCCAAGCAAGGCGGGAAGCCACTAGGGCGCAAGGGGTTACAGAAAATTTAGAACAAGATCAGATAGGGAGTGATAGAAGAAAGGATGAGGGTAGTGGATAGATCAAGGCAACTGGAGATGTCGATTGACATTACACTTGAATAGCTGGAGATTATAGCTCACAGGGAAACAGGAATAGGAAGGAGTTCCACAGGCGAGATGTGCGAGACATGAAGCTATTGGAGAGAAGACGGCTACATTTAGGAGTTTTGACAGTGAAGGGGTGAGAGCGGGATGCCAGCCTCGTATGGCGATGGAACTCATGACGTCTGGGAACCAGCAATGCAGCTCCTCGAGCAATTGCCATGAAAGTATTTATAGAACAGACAGAGGAGGCGACGGCGCGTCTATGAAAAGTGACTGTAGACGAGACGCCAGAGCAGGGCCAACTACATTGCATATCCGCCTCTGGAGCCTATCAAGAACCCCGAGGCAAACAGAAGGAGCACCAGACCATATATGGCAGCAATACTCCATGCAAGAGCGAATTGTTGATTTGTAGATCTGGAGGATCAACTCCGGGGAGAACATCCTGGCGCGGCTCACGGAGCCAACTTTCCTTGCGGTGAAGGTTGCATGATCATCAATTTGCTTATTGAAAATATTAAATTACTTTGAAATGAAAACTAAAATAAAAGATATTTCATTTTAAAAATTCAATTTGAAACCTCAGCTATCACGTTATGTTAAATGGCATTCCTCTGTTAAAAAAACAAAAATACAAAAAAAAAAAAAATCGCACACACACAAAACACATCCATAATTATTCCTCGGGTAAAGTTAAGCAATGTTCAGTCTGATCAGTACCTAGATGGGTGACCGTTTGGGAATACTAGGTGCTGTAAGATTGGATGTGTCCCCAAGCTTTTTTCTCTGAGCCATATTTTCAGAAAGAAAATTTGATCACTAAATTTGATCACTAAAGTTAAACAATGTTCAGTCTTATCAGTACCTTCTTATCTTCCAGTTTTAACAGTTTGCTTCTCAGATTTCAGGAATTGTAAAAAAAAAAAAAAATCCATACTTAGACTTATCGGAAAGAAGCAGTTGAAAATTCCAGGATGAGGAAAGAAGGCTTAGAAAATTTGACGGCAAGAAGGACAGAGTGAAAAATGCATAACCTACGTAATGAGATTGTGTAAATGGTTGGCAAAACAGGGATTAGGAGAGGGGGAATAGTAGAAAAACAAAATTTTCTTAGAGAAAAGGGCAGGAAACTGTGGAGAGCTGTGATCTCTGATATTCTGAAGGGACAAGGTACACAGAAAAAATTCAAATGAGCAGACATTTATTGCAAATCAAAATTTACTTAAAAATTTAAAAAACTGAAATTTTACCTTAAAATTACCTCAAACTTGAGCTTTGCTTTCTGCTTAATAATGTTGTGTTTGAAGGGGAAAAAACGTAAAAATCTCTTGCTTCATGATTAAAATATGCTTAATATTTTTTTTAAACTAATCTTGAGCCTTGTCATGATAATAAACTTTACACTAATAAAAACAATTTAAGCTTCATTTCATGCTTATAAGATTCAGGATTGATTCATTTTTAGTTTAAAACCAGAATATATTTTTAGATTGTAAGATTTTTTTTTTTTAGATAATATTAATTAACCCATGGCTGGGGTCACGGATGTGGACATGTGAATATGACGAACCCAATGGGAGCTAGAACTTGGCTATCCAATTAACTTTTCTGAGGCATTATCGATTACAACACCCACACCAAATGGTGGTGGTGGAAGAGGATAGCAGGTGAGGCGGAATGATTGAAAAACAATCAAATGTTTAGAAACAGTTTTCAAAAAATTCATATGCAAAAAATAAATATGATTTCAAAATTTAAAATATAATTATTGCTTACTTGTAATTGCAAGCATGAAAAACCAGTATAAATAGTTATAAGTATTGGCTTATTTTATCATTGTGATAATTTCGCATTATATCAAGTATTAAGAATATTGTAACTAGTGTCCACAAATTGGAGGAGAGATTTATCAGTGACGTTCTGAATTCAAATTCTCGGTTATCTCCCTTTAATTTTCTCTCGTTTTTTGTTTTTTTTTTATTTTTTTTATAGTACTTTTTTATCATGTAAAATTTTTTCTGAGGCATGGCCCAGAGAAAAAAGCTTGGGAACACATCCAATCTTACATCATTTAGTATTCCCAAACAGTCACCCATCTAGGTACTGATCAGACTGAACATTGCTTAACTTTAGTGATCAAATTTACTTCCTGAAAATATGGCCCAGAGAAAAAAGCTTGGGAACACATCCAATCTTACAGCACCTAGTATTCCCAAACGGTCACCCATCTAAGTACTGATCAGACTGAACATTGCTTAACTTTAGTGATCATACGTAACCGGTGTTTCAACATGATATGGTTGTAAGCCTTATAAGATTCAAGTTAAAATTAAAAAGTGTATAACAGTCAAATCTTCAACATGGAGCCATCTGATTCCTTAAAATTTCCTTGTCAATATCAGTTGTGCAGAAATATACAGCCACTTAATAGAGAGGAAAATTGATATCATAATAAATTCTTTTGAAAAGACAACTGAAGTGACAGGTAAAAGAATGAAGACAGTGTACATCAAAAGATGATTACTGAATGTGACAAGCACTCTGAGAAAACTAGAGCCGAAATACTGCAAAAAAGACGTAGATAAGGAAGTTGGTCTAGAAATAAATCAATGTAGAATGGACATATCAAGTTGACATTCAAGCAGCATTATTATTATAGGGTTTACTGCAAATTACACAAAGATGAGGCTCAAGTGTTAGAAGAGAGGACAAAGACATAGAGGTTTAGACGGAAGAAGGAAAATTTCAAATTACACTCCAAAACAAAGTAATCTGACTAGTATCTTCATATTTGTTTTTTTTTTTTTACAACTGGTTCACTTGTAATACAATGGGGTCCTCACATAGTATTCCACCAACCAGACAATGACTACTCCACATTATATCTCTATTCTTGTTTGTACTGACATGCACCAAAATCTGGGAAAAGGACCGTTGCAAGCTCACAAGAAAACAAAAGGTGTAAACACACTATAATTAGAAAAGAGGACTTATGTGTTCATTCAAGGTGTTACTTGCATGATATGGTTGGGTAGATAAGTGACAGTTGGTACACCTGCCATGTCACTAACAGATTTGCTCTTCTTTTTAAATTTTCCTCCTACCACATCTTTGCTCACCTCACCATCACAACACGTGGCTGGCAGCTCAAATACATGAAATTAGAAGTATATCCCAGTTAACAGGCAGTCCAGAATTGCACAACCTCGATCTTAACTATGTTAATATGAACATGTGACTGGAAATTCATATTTCCTTGTCGCTTGTTCCCAAAAGTTTTTGTTTATTTATTCTTTTTAATTTCCTTTCAGTCAAGAAGATGACTACTTTGAAGACCATATATCTCAGATTTTACTGCTGGTCATAAGACACGAAACTAGTCTCTCTGATGGTAGGGTCCCAATTATAGTGTCACACACTCTTCAGTCTTCATCAGGTGATTGTATTAAGAGACATCTTTCAGAATTTTTGTAAAATACATTGTTTAAACAGAAGGTACACAATGCCAGTGATGTCATAAGTTGTAGGTCATTAGGCGTTTTGGGGCTTTGCAACATTATGCCACTTCTCTGAAGTGACATAATTGACACTGATCAAATACCAATTTGTGTACCAGTGTTGAGCCACAGAAAGTAATCACCGGATTCAAATACAGTGTGCAATGAATAAACTGTCATCTAAATTATGCAAAAATGAAAATAATACTACCATCTCATTTTAACAGATATATTTACTAAAGTGACGCAAAAAAATCTTGAAATACTGAAGAGTAAATTTATTCAATAAAATCGCCATTGACTTCAACCACAGCCTCCAGAACCCCCTACAATTCTTCTGGACAGTCTCTGTGTTTAAGTTATTGAATGTGGCCATAATCCTTGCCTTCAGTTCATTTTTGGTGTTCCAAGGAGTTTTGTTGGTCTCTCACTCAACGGGGTTGCAGTCTGGGGAGTTAGATGGCTAAATATAAGGGGTGATGTTATCGCAAAAATTGTCTGACATCCATGACTGGGTTCTCCTGCTTGTGTAGTAAGTGATAGGGTCTTTCAGCAGCCACTCTCTTGACCTAGGGCAGCACTACCCACTTAAGGCACTTGATGTAGGCCTCCATGTTGAATCTGAGGCCCTCACCAACAAATTCCGGAGTTCTTTCCGTATCAGAACGATCAGTGTGAATTTTCCAAGTTGCTATACCTTCGTAATCACCATTAGACACATCAAACTCTTTCCAAATTCTCTGCACTGTCCTCATATTGACACCGAAATGTTCATATTGGAGATTCTGGAACAAATACCAAGCAGTACAACATGCCAGAGTGAATTGCACCATGATGCTCTTTTTCTCATAGATGGTGCCCAACTGGCCCTACTATACTGTGCAGTCAGCAAAATCAAAACCAATGATCCTGCACAAAAATAAAAAATGACGACAATTTACCCATCGCACTCTGTAGGCACGTTTCTTTGGAACATGACTCATTTAATATAGATGCATAACCTTCACACAAATCCTTCTTTTAAGCCTCTTAGTGCTTCTTATCTTCCAGTTTAACAGTTTGCTTGTTCTTCATAAAGTAAGAAAACAAAAAGCCTCATTTGGTTCATTTTACAGTAACATTCCCGAACTGCAGTGGTAAATTGTACCTACTGCAATTTTCTTACTTATGATAAAAAAAAAATTGACAATTAGAAAATACAACACTATCAGTTCACTAATTACAAAAATATCATCTTATATATAAAGTAGTGTATGAGTGTGTGTCCAAGTAACGCCTTGACTCTCACTGGTCTGATTTCAATGATTCACAGCTCATTCAAAAGCCCTAGAAAAGTTAGGTGCAGGGAATGATTTTTGTTGAGCTCAGATTCCGGGTGGCCAATTTATGTGAGGTTAAAAATATATATTAATATATTATACTAGCCATAATCGTTGCTTTTATGGTTCATGCTCCAAGGGGAGCAACTCTTTTTTTCCTTTCATATCCAAAATTGCAGTGCACATTTTATTATAAACTAGCTTAAAAGCCACCCTATTGGGTGACATTTAAGCTAGCTCCTGTGGAGGACTTTTGGTCTGGCCATCATCACAAAAGCTAGGGAGGACTAGATGCGAGAGGCATCAATAAACTACAGATGAACTCAAAATTGGTTTCTGCATTTAAGTATTGAATTAATGTCTAAGCTTACCTTTTAAAAGTCCAAAGATAATTCTTCTGCTGCAAATTAATTTAAAGACGATTTGATGTATGCAGATCCTTATTTTCCATACAAACAATTATTTGTATTTCAAGGGTGACAGAACAGGGGACAAATTATAAGATAAAATTAATATAGTGTAAAGATGGGAAAATAGAAATTAGAATTAGTTATACATTCAACATTTGAAGAGTTAGAGAAACATAACAGGTATTTAAGTAAAATCTATATTATGGAATATATTTCTCCATATTTATATTGGGATGTATCTTTTCCACTCTCCTTGGACGGATCTCAGTGAGTTTATGATTGGGTACTTAATAAGGAGGAGTCATGGTGGACAAGAAAAGTCGAGAAATGGCGACCAGTGTATGGTTAAGGGCCCTGCACTCACTAATGCATGAGCGCAGCAAATGCAACCTTGCAAGTAACCAACTAGTTAACATATATATTCTAATTGTAACTATTTACCAAATAAAATCAGTCACTGTGAATACATGAAAAAAACATCGATAAGTATATATTAGTCAGTTAAGTGTCATACGTGATTCACATTTGGGTGATGGTGTTCTTTCAGTTCATGACTGACAAGGCCAGGGATGTCCAACCCATGACCAGCACTGTAGGCCACTTAATATTTTCATGCGGCCTACTGCAGCCTAAAATCTTTAGGTATATTTTCATTTACTTCATGTCGAGAAAATTATTCTCAGATTGCACTGTGACACTATTTAGCTATGCTAATTGGCTAACTAATTAAGTGTGGAAATTAAAAGCGAGAAATACTTAAGGCGAGAAGAAGCTATCACGAAAGACATACTGAGCGATGTTATTTTTTTTAACAAAAGAAAAGTGGGTAAAGATTTTATTTTCATTTGCGAAGAAAAGTATTTTTTTCGAAGAAGATAGAAAATTAAAAGATCTCGGATCTGTCAGAATTAATTTATGCCATGATTGGCGAGGAAAGGCAGATAGCAATCTGCCCATGGCAGTAATGAAAATTTCAAATTGGTCAAGAGGCTTAAAAAGCAGAATGCTAGAAGATAATTGGAAATTGGGTCAAGCATGCAACCGAGAAAGAATTAGCTGAGACCACCCCAAAGAAAAGGGAAGGAAGAAAAGAAAAAGGAAAAGAATAAGCCATTAACTATCTTTCGGAGATATCATTTGGTTTTGGAAGGGAACCACCTGTTATATGTCCATAACTTGCCATGATAAAAGTTTGTTACCTGGACAGTGACCACCCAGATAATAACTTGGCTAAAATCCCGTTGATGAATCCCAGATGACGTCAAGTTAAGATAGAGATTTAATGACCACAGTATGATTCGTGGGGTTCTAGTCGGTGGAAAAGAAAAAGGAAGATAATTTTTTTTTCTTTGAGTGATAATTGTAAACTGAGGCCAGTCTCGCCACACCCACACTGCCGAGCATTCATTGGCTGAATGGTGGCGTGAGCAATGGGCGAAGGTAAACATATAGGAAAGAAGGGAAACCTGTTGACGCCCTCTGTGGGGATTGGTGTGAGATACCAATACGAGAAAGAAAGAATTTGGGAGGACAATTCCCTTAAGAACCCCTCTAAAACAGAAAGTAATTGACTTCCAAAAATGGGAAGTGATAAATTTTCCTGTCCGAAAACAAAGAAAATCCTTATTGCAGATTTGGAATTATCGAGGAACCCAAACCACGACAGGCCCCACCCAGTTTTGGTCGGCGTCCATATAAACGAACGTCCCCAGAGCAAACGCAGATGCAGACACAGTTGGGGCAGTCACAACACGGTTGGTGACAGTTGGAGTAAAAGAGTTGAGCTGTGAGCTCGGAGACCAGCCTTGCAGGAGCTGACTGACTTAGACTTCTAACCAAAGACAATTTTTTTTTTGAAGAACAACTTAGACTCACACCACCAAAACAAGTTTTACGAATATCGCCTGAAGATACCAAAAACCAGTTTATTGGAAAACAACTTAAGACTCGCCTAAGAAACACAAAGTGTCACGTATCCATAGAAATGGTTTGAGAGAAAGACGCAGTCCTGTATTCAGCAACCAGATATAAAGATACTTGTTATTCTTTTTTTTAACACTTTTGAATCTTTCGAGTTGTTACTTTATTTTCTTTTACATATACTTGTGCGGTATCACCTTTGCCCCGGATTCGGCTTGCACTACAGCCTGATGCCTGATTGATTTTGTCTACCTAAGATCAAATCACAACATGGGTAGGTAAGACTAGAGATCAAAGCAGTTACTTCGGTAACCAGACGTTGGAAGCGAGCTGGGAACGACAAAGCTGATGCTGAATTTAACCAGATTTCCATCCGAATCAGCCATGGGTTAGATCGTCACAGGATAGTACAACGGGAAGACCAGGTTGACGTCACAGCACTAAAAGGGGAAGGAGGCAAAGGCCTTTGCTGAGACACACCCGCTGGTGTGTGGGGCAAGAGCCAGAGCTAAATAATAATTATTTAGCTTATCTAAAAAACTGTTATGCTTGTCGGGAAGTAGTACTGCTGTGAAAAATTCTTTTTGTGAATGAAAAACATCAAAACTTCCGAAAGAAATAGGTTGAGTAATTCCCATTTAACTAAGCTTCCATAAAAGCATGGTGAAGTAACAGATAGCAGCTCAGATTGAGAAATTGGAGAGCCAAGTTTGAATTCCACCCAAATCCATTACATTCACTTACGTGCTAATACCCTTGGGAAAGGTATGAATCCTCTTCTCGCCCCAGCTATGGGTAAATAGCAGGACAGACTGGGTTCTATAGCCTTGGATGACAACTGGTCTACTGCAGAAAGAAATGGCAACCTACTGCAGGAAAAAAGATCTGCCTTGTCAGTCATGTATCAAAAGATATATGGTCGCCTAAATAAGCGTGTATCACGCATGGAACATAACTGACTGACAATATTATAAAAGGAAAGCAATGTCAACAATCACATTGAATTTATTTTATTTTGTGTATGCATAATTTCTTTTCTACTGTCAATAAAACTGTATTTTTTGTAATTATATATATTTGTTATTAACATTTGCTATGCACGTTCTGAACTTTTTAAATAAAGTACTTTTGTTTTGAATCTAACCTAAATTTCTAATTTGGCCTATTAGCAAAAATAGTTGGACAACCCTAGACTAAGCAGATTTTTCCACAGTACGCTGGTGTTTCTTTAGGTAGGAGACTAGTTGCCAAACATGGCTATAAGAACCAGTATGTCCTGCTATTTAATAATTGGGACGAGATGGATTCATACAGTTCCCAAGGTTATTTGTGCATAAGTGAATGTAACAACCCCAACTAGAATTTGAACTCTGCTCTCCAATTTATCATTCCAAGCTGTTTATCCACAAGACAATGCACATACTGAACCTAGATAATCAAGAATATTTTGTTTTGAGCAAACTTCCATAGTAAATTTTATATTTCCCTCTGAAGCAGGCTGTTCTAACACCCTACTTGATTTTTCCTGTACTCACCAAATCACCCAACTGATTGCAATTTAGAGCGGTCCTATCTAGCAATGACAGTAATTTATATGATGAAATACTAACATCTAAAAAGATCTACTGAACAGAAAAACATACAGTGCAAAATAGTAAAAGACCCATTTTTTTTTAAATAATAAAATTGTAGCTGTACAAGCCTCGAGAGCCACTCAAGTTAGAGGATTACACTTCAAATGGTTACACTGAATGGTGTATGTGATATAGATGAAAAAGGTGATAGAAAGTGATGATAAGGAGGAAAGATAACAACTAACCCTTGACTTGAAGTGGTTGAGATTATAGAGAAGCATCATGGGAGAATATAAAACCGTTCTTCTGCGATGACGCCTTCAGATTATTTACAAAGCAAACATTTCCATATAATAAAAATACTCAAACGCTTATTTGAATTTTGTATCAAAATTTAATCTTTTTAAAAATTACATAATCTTTGAGGTCAACTTTAGTCTGATTAAGATGGAAAAAAAAAAAAAAATGAAAATGGTTGGGGAGAAAGTCATGCTTGAAATTCTGCAATTTCTTTTATAAAAGGCTGCAAAATATGAGAAGTATTTGGTTTGGATGTGCAGGAACCTTTAAAAGAACTATAATTTTCAGAAAGCATTCTGCAGATGTTGCTAAGCACATGCAAAGCATCAACAAGAGGTTGGTCTGCAGAACAACTGGTGCCAATGTCACTGGCATTCTGTTCTGTGTAAGACTGGTTGATAAGTCTGGCATAGAGCGAGAGAAGCCGCATAAATAATACTGGTTGGTTATCCTGACTTGTGTTCTGAGTTATCGCTGCAATAGCAGTGTTCCAATGGTTGAGCTGAGTTTGAATCCAATGAAGAATGTCTAAGATAGAAGACAGAGAAATAGTATTAGAAGCTTCTTCACACAGACAAGTCATGACCAATTCTAAAGTTTCATCAAAACAAGAATCATTTTCTTTTAGAAATGTGCTAGATGGTATCCAAGAAAGACAAATATCAATCAGAGCTTGCTGTAGTTTCTTCTGTTCATTTTTTGAGCATGTCTCTTCTTCCTGACAGAGGTCAGGAAACGCACTTTGAACATTCTCATTGGAGTCTGACTTGTCTGCAGTTTGTTTTTGTAAAGAATGAGAAACTTCCGTCAGATGATTACAAGCATAGCCCCAACGTTTCAGTAGATTCAGGGATCTCTCACCAGTGTGTACATTTGAGGAATGTAATCGGCTTTGGTAAAGTACAAGCAGCACATCTCTCGGAGTCAGTTCCATTTTTATGTTGCTCATTATGGGAGGGTCTGATTCTGCTTTTATGACACTCTCATCTGTTATTTCAGAGGGGTTGTCTTTTACTCCCTCTTCACATTTCAGTTTGCCTGAGGTTTTCTCTGAAGGAAAAAAAGAAAAAAAAAAGAAATATAAACAGAAAAAATGAGCAGTGTTTGAATCTTGGGAGCATTAGGCAAAGTTTATAATAATTAAAAACAAATAACTTATGGAATTCAATAAATATCCACAGAGAAAATGGATCTGCATTTTTATATCAATTAGGATTTAATATTTTACCAAATACTTTGTAAATGCATTTTAATTAAATGAACATTCTTTTTCTTTTCATTCATCAAAATTTATACGAGACACTCAGTAGCAACTTTCTCTGAAAACTAAAGATTTCCCAAGGCAATTGAATAAAGAAACATGAAAAATTCAATTTTACAATCAAGTCCTCGACAAGTGGATGTTATCTCTGCAAAGCTGAGTTGGAATAGGTGAACAGATCAATAAACATTTAATTTTATTTATTACTATAGATAAGATTTTCATGTATAATAAATAATTGTTTTTCATTCAGTAAAAGCCTAAAAAAAAAAAAAAAAAAAAAACAAAGAAAAAATAGAAAAAGAAATAAAAGACGAGAAAAAGAATTTCATGTATAATAATTGTTTTTCATTTTGTAAAAGCCTCAAAAAAGGAAAAAGAAAAAAAGTGAAAAGAAAAAAGAAAAGTGAAAAGAAAAGAAAAAAAGAAAAGTGAAAAGAAAAGAAAAAAAGAAAAAAAAAAAAAAAATGAAAAGAAAAAAGTGAAAAGAAAAAAGTGAAAAGAAAAAAGTGAAAAGAAAAAAGTGAAAAGAAAAAAGTGAAAAGAAAAGAAAAAAGTGAAAAGAAAAGAAAAAAGTGAAAAGAAAAGAAAAAAAGAAAAGAAAAAAGTGAAAAGAAAGAAAAAAGAAAAACAAAAGAAAAAAGAAAAACAAAAAAAAAGAAAAACAAAAGAAAAGGAAAACAAAAGAAAGAAAGGAAAAAACAAAATAAAAATAGAAGGGGTATACCTTTTAGTGATGCCCGTTTTTTCAATAGTAGGACAGAGGCAAATAGAGGAAGAAAAAATTTCATAGCAGCATAAGAAGTTCCTTCCCTAAAAAGACAAATTTCAGAATTTGTAACAATTTGGAGTAATGGAAAAAAAAAAAAACAAATACAAACAAAAAAAAAAAAAACAATGATCACCAAAAATTAAACTCTTAGGAAGATACTGACCTGTAACTTTGCAACAAATTTAAGAGGACCACCTGCATTTCTTGGACAAATGGCAAAGGTAGCTCAAAAGAATTATTGGTAACCAGATCCTCTTCTGCTACATTTTTCTTGAGGAGACTGAACCAAAGAGTGTGAACAATTTCTGTAAGGAGGACAATGGCTTCAGAATGTGGATCTCTGAAAAAAAAAAAAAAAAAAAAAAATAACAAGTAAGCTCCAAATATTATAAGAGGGAGAGAAAGAAATACCTATAAATGTAAGTAATTGTATGAAGGGAGGAGGACTGGATAAGAACTTTAAAATGTATGTTGACATGACAGGGCATTTTGCTTAAGCACATAACAAGTTCATTTCGAAATAGTCATACGTCATTGAGCCAGGATTGACAGATGAGCATCAGAATGCTTGAAAAAAAACACATAAAAACGACCAATAGAGTGAAGGTAACTTACACATGAGAAATAAAGTTGTTGATCCAGGAAACAACCCCACAATGCCGTGCTAGATCATATGCTCCAGTTTTTTGTTGGCAGGCTCGTTTTAAAATACGCAGAATCTGAAACTGATAGCAAAATGGGATGTCAATTACTAGGCAGTCTAACATATATGTATACATCATGTAACGCAAAATAAATATAGGTGCACATAGGTTTATTCAACTAAATGACAAATGTAGCCCAGAAATGAGCACAGCTACATTGGCACATGCAGGAGGCAAAAATGGCATGAAGCAGAGCGAGCAATAGACCATTGGTTTTGTAAATAGAGGGTGCGATGGATAAATTGTCGTGTAAATTACACAAAAAATAAAATAATACTGACATTTCATTATAACAGTTAAATTATCCAAAATGACACAAAAATATTTTTAAATACTAAAAAGTAAGTTTGTTCCATAAAAAATAATAATAATAATAACGCCACTGGCCTCAACCATGGCCTCCAGACTACTTTGGAATCTCCTGCAACTCTTCTGGATGATCTTGTTGGTGAATGCTTCTATAGTCCTTGCCTTCAGTTCATCTATGGTGTTACAAGAGTTTTGTTGGTTGCTTGCACAACTATACCCTACATCCAATTCTTTCTGAATCATCTGCACTGTCCTCAGACTGACACCCAAACACTCTGAAATGTTTGTATTGGAACTTCTGGTGCGAATGCCAAACAGTACAGCATGCCACTTCCAAATATCAAATGGCATACTTTTTAAACCATAAATACAAGGGAAAGTCAAAAATTATTTGGGCTCTTGTCTAAAGATATGTTATGGCGAAAGTGTGGATAATCTTTGACTTACGTTCATACAAGAAAAGTTTGTTAGAATCAAAGTGTGTTCAGCTGCTAAGTAATATCAGTTTTCTTATATGAATGGTAGGCAATTTCCTCAAACATGAAGGGGACACTTGAAGAAACAGTGATGTGGTTCTACAGAAGGATGCTGAGAATACCACACTTGTACACAGAATCAGAAAGAGACAGCTGAAAATTTTGGGATACAATATCAAAAGAAAAAAACAAAGGAGAATTGACACTCACAGAACATCCTGAAAACAGGAGACAGAAACAGCATGTAACTTACCTAACGAGCCTGTGTAAATGGATGACAGAAAAGAGAAAGGATAATAATAAAAAAAAAAAAAAACATTACTAAAAAGGAAGTTTTGGAGAGCCATGATCTCTCACATTATGAAGAGACACGGCATATGGCAGAATATATTTTGGCATCTGCTTACTTTCTATATTTGCTTTAAGTATTTACTGAGTCCCTTTATAATTTGAATGAAAGAAAGTTCAAGTGTTTAATAAAGGTTACTTCTGATATCAAGAGATACATGAAGAGCTATCAAGTTAAAGAAATATAGTTGTGCAAGACAATCCAAGACTTCCCTCAGCTCTTTTGAAAATATGAAATGCTGAAATAAATGTTTCTTAGGTTTCCTGACTGCCTGCAAGTATATCTATAAAATACAAACGTTTCAAGGGACACTTACCTGTGATGTATAGTTACACAAAACAGAGTTGGCAAATGACATGATGATCTTGAAAATATAATACTTCTTGTAGATACGATAGTCATGAGATTCTCTAAGGCCATCATATAACAGGTAAAGCATCCACATTCGTTCATGGTAATGCTGCAAAAGAGGAAGAGAAATCTGAGTCAGGCTTCAGTAAACAAGATCTTTGTGGTCGTTAGTTACAAAAAGGATGTGGGGGAAGAAGCTGATTTAGAGCAATGGGATTTTTGCCCACATCAAAGTACTCACACATTTGTCCCATTATCACTTCCATCAATTAAAAATCTGAAAAAGATCCTTTTTGGCAGGGTGTGAGAAGATCACTATCAGCTGCCCCATTGTATTCTCCTTAATCTTGTCAGTAGAATTTCAGCAGCAATTTTTTACTTCGAAATCTAGACGGCATCGGGAGTTAAATCTGGACAGGAGGAGGGGGAAGGGTCTACTGACAGACATGAGCAATGTGAATTTTTTCCAAAAAAACACTGAACCAGCCATAACAATATGAATAGATGCATTATCAAACAGTATACGTTTACTGAATGATGCCTTACAGCTGACTGAGTAACCTCATGCGTTGGTTTGGTTTGTTTTACAGCATATCAACCTCAATGAGTTATTTAATGCCGACAAAATTTTTATTGCTGGTAATATACTTTTCTTCAAAAATTGAAGAAATCTATAGCTGGTAATATTTTTTTCAACAAAAATGTATAGCTGTTTGTATTGTTGGAATTTTTTTTTTTTTTTAAAGTATTGCTGATAATAATTTTTCCTTAAAAAATTATTGCTGGTAATAACTTCTTTTTTTTTTTTATTACAAAATATTTCTGGTCTTAAAACCTATTTTTACACAATTTTGGGTGTTAACTATTTGCCCATAGCTGGGACCCTAATAGATGCTACCACCCCAGGTCAGAGTGGACCTGGGAATACCAGCAATTTAAGAGGTGGTTCCATGCTCCTCAAAACCTCCTGACCAGAGGCCTTGATGTTGGACATAGTTTATCGTCTTACCCAGGACACGGATGTATGTATGTGTATATATAACTAAATAAATAAAAAAATAATAATAATATTCGACAATACCCGCCTAATTGGGTGGCAAGCCAATCCCTATTGCAGACGCTTGCTCAGGCATATTTGTGTTTGTCCAACACCCACAGAGCCCACCTGTGGTTTATACTGCAACTATGCTCAGCAGACCATAGTGACTTTCTGGGAGAGAGTGTGTTATCTAGTGTGATCAACAATTTGAACCAGGCTAGTATGCTCAAGCCTTCTGGCTACGATGACTTGTGGCTTTGTGCTAGCACAGCTATCGATGGCCTACAAGAATTCCATCTACCCAATTTCACTCAAAAGGCTTGGGTCAACCCGTGGTGTCGTTTTCAGGCACTTTCCAAAGGTGCTACATGCTGGGATCGACCATGACCCAGTCCAATAACATCAGGAAGTTGTCTTCCTGACAAATCCACCATGGTTAGATTTGAACCAGAGTCTCATGGTCAGAAAGTGAACATTCTAACCACTTGGCCACACGCTCATATATACATATATATAACAACACACATATATATATATGACAGTGTGTATATAAGAACCAACACTTCATGGTAACAGTCCCATGATCTTCAGCTTGAGGCATGGATGTCATAAAACAGTCATTGTGCACACACACAAAATATATATCATCATTCAACTAAAATATAATTCTGCCAAATCCATGGTAACATCAATTTTTTTTTTTAAATACAATGCTCAGTGACTTTTTTTAATATATAATGCTCAGTGACTTTTTTTTTAATATATAATGCTCAGTGACTTTTTTTTTAATATATAATGCTCAGTGACTTTTTTTTTAATATATAATGCTCAGTGACTTTTTTTTTAATATATAATGCTCAGTGACTTTTTTTTTAATACAATGCTCAGTGACTTTTTTTAATATATAATGCTCAGTGACTTTTTTTTAATATATAATGCTCAGTGACTTTTTTTTTAATATATAATGCTCAGTGACTTTTTTTTTAATATATAATGCTCAGTGACTTTTTTTTAATATATAATGCTCAGTGACTTTTTTTTTAATACAATGCTCAGTGACTTTTTTTAATATATAATGCTCAGTGACTTTTTTTTTAATATATAATGCTCAGTGACTTTTTTTAATATATAATGCTCAGTGACTTTTTTTTTTTTTTTAATATAATGCTCAGTGACTTTTTTTAATATATAATGCTCAGTGACTTTTTTTTTAATACAATGCTCAGTGACTTTTTTTAATATATAATGCTCAGTGACTTTTTTTTTAATACAATGCTCAGTGACTTTTCAGACAGAGCCAAATACAGTGTATAATATTTGTTTGCATCTTACTAAAAATGTACCAAGCACATGTTATTCAAAGTTATTCAGAATAATAAACCAATTGCCAGATTCTGAGTGTATGATAACTCGTTTATTAATCTATTTACATTGTTCAGATTCTTGTCCTCATCTTTGTTGCCATATTTATCACAACGTTTTGGCTGTTGTATGCTCCGGCCTTCTTCAGGTGGTTGGAATTTTGAACTGAACCATTTATTTCGCTCACGGCAGTAGACTATTCTATTTCCACGTGCCATGACTAATGGATGTCAGTTATTAGTTATTTCCTGTTAATTCCCCTCTCCAAGATCTCCACTGCCTTAACCAGGTATTGAACTTACACTCTTTGGACAGATATTGTTTATTACTATCAAGTTTTTAATGTGTATTGTTTCATGTGACATATTTTCACATTTCATCCTTTAGGACTTCATTGGATTAAAGCGATGTTCAGGTTGATGTGATTACACATGTGCATGAAGGAGATGGGATGCTGAAATTTAAAATTAAAATTTTTTGCTTGGCCTATGCATGAAGCTTTGAATAACATAGCTGATGTTATTGAGTGTTGGCTTTTTCTTTTTTATTATTAATACTTCCATTATTTTTAATCTTTTTGTATATATATATATATATATATATATATATGAATGAGGTTACTATACTTGTATTTTCTACTAGTATGTTGCAGATTGAGTTTGGTAGGTTGCTGTGTATGTTTAAATGACTCCTAATTGAGCTAAGCACTAATAATAAAAAAGAAAAAGTCAACACTCAATAACATTAATGATGAACAAAGACACAACATGCTGACCGTGTTTGAAAAACAGAACATTTGTATAACTTTAGACACATACATAAAAAAAAAAAAAAAAAAACACACACATTCAGTTAAAAATAAAAATCATCCTTGATAATGGCTAAAAGACTAGCTGAAAGCGCTCAAATATGCAGAACGTTTGCACAGTTTTTATACACTTTGTGTCCAGAAAAGAAAACACTTGTATGAACATAAAAAAAATTAAATAAAAAGGTTAATTGCAGTGCATTGTCAGTCATCTTAAACGAAACTATATATATATATATATATATCCAAATCTAATGAGAAGGAAAATAATTTCTAACGTTCAAAGCATTAATTCAAAAGAGGGCTCAATACCAAGAGTAGAGCAGTATTCATTTATTATAATTTTTACATGCAGAAAAATTGTTGTGATCATCCAAATATGACCATTTTTTATATGTAGAGTTGGGGACCATTTTGGTTTTCACCATTCAAGATGCAGCTGCATCAAAACAAGAATGCATCTTTGTAGTGAGGAAGTTGTTTTTGTCTGTATGTAAAAATTATAAACCTCCCAATGCTAGTCAATTCCATATGCACTTGCCTATTGCAATGCATGTTGGAAGCCACAAACACATCTTCAAGTAGAAAAGACAAGTGCTGTTGGTTTGTGCTCAGACAGTAAAAAGATGTTAACAGACTACCAATAAAATTTTAGGAGGCCTTTTTTTTATGATCACTGATGGTTACATAGATTGGAGACTTGGTGCAGATTTAGGATCTTCTCTTGTCTTTTCAACAGGGTTTGCATTAACTCCTTCCAGTGTCCTAAATTTATCATTTGGCTAGTCATTTCAAAACATGTTTACATTGTTCATTTAACAATTCCTTTTAAGGATTCATAAATGTAAGCTGGAAAAATTGGATGTTTTTGTTTTCTATAAGTTTTCCAAATACGTAAGAGGAGGAAGTAAGTGCAGACTATGAGAATATGTAGTATAGATAACATGTGACCCAAGACTTGAAGAGTTTAATATTGTAGTGATCAGTGAAGCATCCTTTTGGGTGTCTGTTCCAAAAAGTAGTTGCGCTCAGGAAGAAACAGTTTGAGTAGTACTTCCTCCTTAATAAAGGAATATGAAGGGAATGAGGAGGATTTGACTATGCACATGACATGGCTGGATATAGCTGCAAAGGTCTGAATTAGTGAAACAAAGGAATGTAGCTTATCTGAACATTTGCTATGGAAGTAGTTTTAGCACCTGAATGTTGAATTAACCTTTACCGAGCTGGAGGGGAAAATTGTTACTGTAGTATTCTCTCCCTTTGCTGCTCCAGATGCATATGTTGCCTGAATACGGCTGCTATAAATAAATACTTATCAACTGATATTTCTGGTATTTTAAGTAGGAAATCGTCAACTACTGCTTTGGAATGAGCCTAAACTTCTATTTTCCAACACCATTTTGAATTCTTCTAGACTTTACATGAAGTATAACATCAATTAAACCCACATTAATTTTTTTGCGATATTTTGCAAACAAAAATGGCCATATCAACATCCAACAAAGTTTTTATTCAGGAGTTTTTCTATGATTCAGACTCTGATGATGATTTTGAAGGTTTTACTCAAATGGGTATTGACGGTGAAGTGGGCAAATATGATAACTACGCTAGTGATGTGGAAGAAAGTGGTGATGACCATTAGATACCAATCGGCTACTATCATCCATGGCTGACTAATCTTATAGAAGCTACTAGTGACTATCAATATACCTGATAGCCTTTCTGATATGATAGGCCATGTAGAAGAAAAGGGGCAAACAAATGCCGGTGTCTTCTCATATGTAAACCCAAAGAAGCATGTCATTTTTTTTGATGAAATAAAAAGTCTTCTTAGTGATTGTGCTTATTACCGAATCCCAGAACTCTACAAGGAGTAATAAAAGTTGAAGTATGTTAAGTGTTTATGTATTTGTTTTTTTTTTATTTTGTGGTTCAATTTTTTTGTTTTCAACATCAAAACATGCATGCAAAACGTAATGCCTTACATAAAATTATTACTCATTGATTTTTTATTAGCATAGAAAACATAAAATCTAATGCAAAGAAAGTTATAATTAAAAAAAAAAAATGCAGTGTCATGGGGAAAAATTCTATAAAGAAATTAATGTGGTAAAGGTTAACAATATTTTGAGAATAAGAATTAAAGCATAAGAACTCAACAATGAAAGACTGGTGAAATTTATTTTTGACCGACACGTCCAAATTTTGAACATTTGTGTATGTGGGAAGAAAGCCAGGATAAAGACTGAATGATAAATGTGTGGTTCCAACAGTCAAGTATAATGGTGAGTTTGTTATGGTGTCAGGTGTTTTGGGGGAAAAAGGGCTGGAGATATGATTCAGTTCAAGGGAATCATGAAGAAGAAAAAAAAAAAAAAAAAGAACAATATCATTCGATTTTTTAAAGACAAGGTATACCATCTGGTTTATGCAGAGTTGGGGAAAAAAAAAAATAAATAAAAAAAAAAAAATCACTGTCCCAGAAGACAACGATCCAAAACACTCTTCTAAATTATATCAAAATTCCCTAGAGTTAAAAAGAAAAAAACAAAAGAACAAAATTTTGGAAATTATGATTTGGATGTCTCAATCTGCAGACCTCTCTGCCACTGAATTAGTAGGGGTTGTTGAATTGGATAGAAAAGTTTGAAGAGAATATCCAAAGTATGACTGAGTTTTTTCAGTGCTTGAAGAATGCTTGGGAAGGGTTGCTACACACACACACACACACACACACACAGAAGCATGAGAGAAAAAACACCACTTACATGAAGATTTGAGCTGTTGAACATCCGGAAGAATTCTGGAATCAAATTTAGTTCTAAGCATGGTTTCACCATAAGTGGTGCAGTAATTGATGCATACAATTGGTTTCCTGCAAAGATAATAAAGATAAAATCAGGTAAGAATAGCACCCTGTCAAGAAATGACACGCAAGTCATTTTCCCCCAATATATTCAGTTATCTATTCATGGATTCATCTGGCACTAAGTAGATGACAACTGGGACAACATTGTCCCCTCTGATGACAGGCTAATGAATCTTGCTTTTGGCCAGCAAATATTCCAACTCTCTCCTACTACCCTTCTGTCCATAACTACAACACAACTTAGCAAAGGGTAGTTCAAAACTGACTACATAAGCCCATGATTGGAACTTCCTAACTTCCAGCTAAATAGCACTTGATCCCAAAGGTTTTCATTTATTTAGATATTTATATTTCTTTTCTTTCCACTTGTACATAGTAGTTTCCCCTTATAGATTTCACTGTCAATGTCATCATAAAAAACTGCACTTTATTTCGGTTATTCTAAGGCATTTGCATAGGCCCCATTGTGTCACAGATGTTGTATAAAAAATAATGGGATGCCAAATTATTTGTGATGCAGTTCAAAACCAAAAGTTGGTTTAGGAGTTAACTTCTGAAAATGAAATATAACATGGTTATGGTAATTGTTCTGATGAACTTTCCTCTATGGTACCTATACTTTACGAATAGTTGAAATGGCTAGATATAACTAAGTTCTATGCTAACAGTTTATTTTCTCGCACTTCTCACTTGTTAAACTCTCTTGGTTTCTTGCTTTCCAGTGAAGTTTGATTTTCGCAAATTTAAAATGTTATTGTTATCTTTGGCCATCTTAATTCCTGCACTTTTATTGTTCTTGTGCCTTAATGTTTTTCTTTTTCTTATATTATTTCACCATCAGTAACCCCCAGAATCTTAGTAGCTTTATTGCCTTGCTTGAGGTGAAATGCTTAATAAAAAAAAAAAAAATCAAGGATAATTAACCTACCTAACTACCTACTTCAATGACCCCAGTATAGATCATTATCATAAACCCTACGCAGCAGTTAAATGTAAACCCCATAACCATTTACATGGCTGTTCAGTATCTATTTCAGCAGGACAAACATATAATGGACCCCTTCCCCAGTTTTTCATTGACTGAAAGAAAATAAAAGTTACCTGACATTCAGTTTCTCATTTTAAGGTGCACATAAAATTTTGAAAGGCCTATTGTACACTCAGAGTCAAGAGTTTTGAATTCAACATTGTTATTCTCCTAGACTGGTTTCCAGCTATGACTAGGAGTCCTGTCTGCCCTGGAGAGAGAAGAGATGGATTTCCCAAGAGAATTTTTGCAAAATTGAATCCAAAGAATTTGACTGGAATTCAAACTTAGCTCATAGAGTTTTCATTCCAAGCTGCTAACCATTACACCCCACTTGCACACATTTTGGATGTGAAGGTAGACGGTTAATTCAAAAGGCAAAATATTGATGGCTATGTGTTGTAGCCAAATAATCAACAAGCCTATCTTGCAGGAAGTATAGTGAGTTAATTTCTCATTGTGCACTCTTCTCCTGTGGCCTTGTACCTAATTAATTTACAGCATTCATTGTCAGTTTGCCTAGGCAACATGAACCTTACTGATTATTTTTTTTTTTTTTTAAGCATTACGCCCCAAGTAAGGCGTGAAGCCACTAGGATGCAGGGGGTTGCAGAAGATTTGGAGCGAGAGCAGATAGGAGTGATAGAAGAAAGGATGAGGAGAAGGATAGTGGGTAAATCAAGGTAACTGGAGGTGTCGATTGACATTACATTTGAATAGTTGGAGATTATAGCTCTCAGGGAAACAGTAATTGGGAAGAGTGTTCCACAGGCGAGAGGTGCGAGGTATGAAGCTATTGGAGTAGAAGAGACGGCTACATTTAAAAGTTTCTACAGTGTAAGGGTGGGAGCGGGATGCCAGCCTTGTAGGGTGCTTGAATTCATGGAGTCTGGGAACCAGTGAAAGCAGCTCATCGGAGCAATTACCATGAAAGTATTTGTAGATTGCTGCAGAAAATGAAAGGAAAAGTAGGTGGCCAATCAAAGAATAAAAATAATTCATATTTATAGACAAACTATTGCTGGAGAGAGAATAAATTGCCACTCAGATTAATTTTTATTCAAGCCAATTTCTAAATGCACAAGGAGTTAGATTGTAAACATATAATGGGCCCCTTTCTCAGATTTTCCCAGACTGAAAAAGAGAAGTCACCTGACATTCAGTTTCTCATTTGCAGGTGACATAAAACTGTGAAAGGCTAATTGTACACTCACAAGGAGATGGAAGGTGAAATTAATGCCACAGTGAAAAATAAAAACACAAATCCAGTTTTCAATAGTTTGGTTTTGAGTTTGCCTGAGCAATCTCTCTTGGGGTATGTAAGTGACACTTAGGACCCTTCAACAATTCTTTTTTCCAATGTGACTGGTTGAATTGGTTGGTGTTTGGTGTTTTGTTTTACAGTATATCAACCTCAATGGGTTATTTAATGCCAACAAGATTTTTATTGCTGGTAATATTATTAAAAAAAATGTATTACTGGTATTAAAATCTATTTTAACTTGTGTTTTGACCACCAAGTTTGGGGGTTAAATATTTGCCCATAGCTGGGACCCTAACAGGTGCTACCACCCCAGGTCAGAGCGCAACAGGGAACACCAGCAATTATGAACATCCTGATCAGAGGCCTTGCTGCTGGATGTAGATTCATTGTCATACCGAGGACACCTTATTTGAGGGGGCGGGGGAGGTCTTAACCCTCTCCAGTGGTACAGTCAGCATATTCTGAAACCCCAGCTGATGGGGCATTGGACTGATTGGGTCTTAACCCTTTAACCAAAAATTCTGCTTATGTAAGAATGTGAACAGAAATTTATAACTTTTGACCAAGCAACACCATTTCTCAAAAGTTTTCATTTATTTATCTATTTTATTCTCTTTGAGTCAGTAAGTAGCCACTTTGAAGACCTTACTTTGAAAATTTTGCAGATGGTCAAAAAAACACTAGACACTAGACTCAGATAAAATCATTCAGGGTCCACTTCATTTTGCTTGCTCAGACAGTTGTGTATAGAACATGTTGCACTAGGAAAACAAAGAAACAGAGAAATGCTCAAATTTCTTCTTAAACTATAAGAAAATGCAGAGGGTGGTGGGAAAAAAAAAAAACAAAAAAAACAAAGGAGAAACAGAACAACAGAGAGAAAAGAAAATCCATGGAAGAAAGAAGGGAAAATGCAAATCAAAAGAAAAAAGCTGAGGAAAAAAAAAAAAAAAAAATCAATCAATCAAAAATGAAAACAAGTGGAAAAACAAAAATAAAAAAAAAATGGAGAAAAAAAAAAAGGAGAAAAAAAGGAGAAAAGGATAAAAAAAAGGAGAAACAAAACAACAAAGAGAAAAAAATCAAAGAGAAAAAAAAATCAAAGGAAGAAAGCAGAGAAAAAAATATAAAGAAGAAAAAAAAAAAAAAAAAAAAAGAGAAAAACACAATAGAGAAAAAAGCAAAGAAAAAAAAAAAAAAAAAAAAAGAAAAGAGAAAAAAGAAATGGTAAACAAAAAAAAGATCCTACCTTCATTGAGGAGAATCTGGCTAACTTTCATCATGTATATGGCAATGACAAATGGCAGCTTAGTGTTCTCATCAGTGATGCTGTTCCGCAGGAAATGCAATAGATAGAGATACTGGTCCTTGCGATGAAAACTGGACAATTTCAACTGCTCTTCAAGTTGAATGAGGATGTGATAGCCAGCAGCCCGCATATTGCTGTCATGACTACTGAGAGCCACAAAGCTATATCCCAAACAATTTTTCATCATAAAATTCAATGTTCTTATATTGTTATCTGGAAAGGAGAGAGAGCAAGAACGCATATGTTAAGACTGCAATATGAACGATTTCCCCCAAAAAATGGAAGCAGAAACGTGGCTCTACAGTAGAATGCTGAGAATAGCATGGACTGGGCCCATTACTGACAATGAAGTTTTAAGGAAAATGGAAACCAAAAAAGGGCGCTTGTACTTAGAATCAGAAAAACACAGTTGAAATTTCTGGGACACACATAGAGGAAAGCAGGCTTAGAGAATTTGACACTCAAAAGATATATTGTAGGCAAGAGGGACAGGGGGAAAACAGTGAGTGACCTAATAAGTTTGTGTAAATTTGTGAGAAAATCAGAGTTTAGAAGGAGAAATGTTACTTAGCAATGAAAAGGATAGGAAATTATGGAGGGCTACGAACGTCAATGTCCTGAATGTACACTGTGTGGCAAATGGCACTTTATCAAACAAACTTTTGTTAGTGCTTGAGAATGCATAACAGAGATTTGAAGCTGGAAAGAATCAATTTTAATTCATGGGAAAATTTAAACAAAAAACACTAAATTATTTAGAATAAAATAAGAGAAAAAATAGTGTAATTATATAAATTGAAATGTATAAAAATCATTCTGAGTTCTGTACTAGTAGATATTGAACTAGTGTAATCTAGTAGAACTGAGTAAAATTCAGTTTAAATACCATCCAACCCTTATCCCTACCTTTTAACTTGAACTGAAAAGATTTATGTGGTATTCAGACGTGTTTAGATTTCATACAATGACATTCTTTACATCAGACTGCAAACCCAAACCAAAATTAAAAATTGCAATTCTCAATGGAACAACAAGATTTAAAATAGGCCTTCAGTTCTGAACATCAGTTGCACTCTGAGTTGGTCTGAAGTAAAGGACACCACGTTTTATACAATTCCCTATGTTCCTTAACAAACTAATATTTTTCAGGGTGGGCCAGTCTGGAATTTAGTTGGCACTATAATCAGCATGGAGTTCATGTAGTTCTTGGATAAAGAGAATCTTATTTGGCTTTAGGAAATTATTATTGAAAATGTGTATGTGATATCATATTTTGAGTGATTTTGTTTAGCAGCATATCAACACCTCTCTAGGTTATTTAATGCTCAAATCTAAACATTTTATACGCAATTTTATGGCTGACACTAAATATATTTTGAACGCAATTGTATGCTTTCAGTTTCTGACAAAATACATTGTTGGTCATTTTACTTTAAATATATATTGTTGATAATTTTACTATAAATATGCATTGATGGTTGGTTGATTTTGTTTAGCAGCATATTAACACCTATATGGGCCATTTAATGCTGAAATGTAAATATTTTGAACACAATTCTATAATTTCAACTGAATATATTTTGAATGCAATTTTATGCCTTCAACTACAGATAAAAAATATTTCTAGTCATTTTGCTTTAAAATTGTATTGTTGGTAATTTTATTATATAAAAATCTATTGCTGGTATTTTTATACTTTCATAGTGTTTTGATTTAGGTTGAGGGGCTAGTATTTGCCCATAGCTAGGACCCTAACCAGAGTTACCACCCCCTGGGTCAGCTGGTTGTTTTGTTTTATGGTCAGGGTGGACCTGGGAACAGTAGCAATTAAGAGATGGTTCTCTGCTCTTCAAAATCTCCAGTCTCCCAATCAGAGGCCTTGCTGCCAGGCGTAGTTTATACCTAGGACTAACTGCCCAAAGAACAAATTGCAGAAAGTACTATACAAAAGAGCCATTGGATAATCACATCACCATTGGTTGATTTTATCTTTGTATTTTAAATGTAGTACAATCCACAGATACATTAAGAAAGATTTATATATATATATATATATATATATATATATATATATATATATATATATATATAATATATATGTAAAAAAAAAAAAAAAAAAAATCAAGGTTCCAATAATTCATGTCACATGGATCAGTTGAAAGCACTGAAGAAATCAGTGTTAAAAGCTGAAACACAACTGAATGCAGACCTGGTTATGTTACACATTTTGTGTAACATTCTACACAGTTTGAAGTTCTACTACACTTGAAAATTTTGAATTACTTGCTTTAATTATTATTGCTAAACATTTCAGCTATCTCGACTATTCATGGCTTGTGAATTTCACTAAAAATTCTTGATGCTGCACATTTATTGCAAAGTTAAGTATAACAGTTTTTATAGCATGGACTGGACCCATTACTGACAATGAAGTTTTAAGGAAAATGGAAACCAAAAAAAGACACTTGTACTTAGAATCAGAAAAACAGTTGAAATTTCTGGGACACACAGAGAAAAGCAGGCTTAGAGAATTTGACACTCAAAAGATATATTGTAGGCAAGAGGGACAGGGGGAAAACAGCAAGTGACCTAATAAGTTTGTGTAAATTTGTGAGAAAATCAGAGTTTAGAAGGAGAAATGTTACTTAGCAATGAAAAGGATAGGAAATTATGGAGGGCTACGATCATCAATGTCCTGAATGAACACAGTGTGACAAATGGCACTTTATCAAACAAACTTTTGTTAGTGCTTGAGAATGCATAACAGAGATTTGAAGCTGGAAAGAATCAATTTTAATTCATGGGAAAATTTAAACAAAAAACACTAAATTATTTAGAATAAAATAAGAGAAAAAACAGTGTAATTATATAAAGTGAAATGTATAAAAATCATTTTGAGTTCTGTACTGGTAGATATTGAACTAGTGTAATATAGTAGAATTGAATAAAATTCAGTTTAAATACCATCCAACCCTTATCCCTACCTTTTAACTTGGACTGAAAAGATTTACGTGGTATTCAGACGTGTTTAGAACTTCACTAAAAATTCTTGATGGTGCACATTTATTGCAAAGTTAAGTATAACAGTTTTAATGAACAGAACTACAAATAAAAATTTTCACAAAAAGACTATACATTTTAGCTACCCCTACTATTTATGGCTTTCATTGCAAATGTCACAGAACACAATGATGTTAATATTTTTTCAGTTCTTCTAGTTTAGCATTCAGCTACTTTTCCAATTTTGATATTTCTATGAACTTTTCTTTTGCAGATCTTTGCATGGCATTAGACTTTGTGACAAGTTTTGAATCTGGTCAGATTTCTCTGCATAATTGTCAGCTGCCTTGAGCAAATCTGTTGTGCAACTTTCAAGCTTGTGTTTTTTGGTCATCAGTTCTTCAATTTCCATAAGTACAGATTTCAGTTTTTGTTCAGCTGCATCTTCTTGCTTTTTTTTTTCTTCTCAGCCTCAAGGTATTGGTCATATGCTCTTCTGCATTGAACGCACTGTAAAGAAGAGCTTTAGTCATGGGGACATTATCAGCTAAATAGTCTGTAATAATGTGATGTTCAATCAGAATCTGCCGTTTCATATTGTCAGTAGAAATTTCCTTATTTACTGAGAAACCTCTCTCCACTGAGTCCTGTCCATGAGTGAGTACCAGCAATCTGCGAACAACTTCCCACAGTTTTTGATATTCTTTGTTGCTAGACAAATCGGGGTAGAATTGCCCAGATGGTCTTCATGCTTGCTGAAATTCTTAGCAGCCTCCTCCTCAAACTCTTTGTACCGACTGATCATGTCATCACAACCAGACTTGCTGACTTGTTTTCTGTTCATGTGGGAAAGCAAACTTTTTAGACTTCTGTGGCAGAATTTTTTTCACAAATGGATCCAGGGTTCAACCAAGCAAGTGACCTTACAAGAAGGTATCTAAGGGGAGACTTTGCCTGACATTTTTCGATGATAGTGACAAACATTGCCTTTGTTGCAATTCTGCATGCAAACTGATCTTTTGCAGACTCATTTCCTTTTTTTGGTTAAATTTTGCATAGCAATATTTGCCAAAAATCCACATTCAGTCTTTGCTGATCTTTTATGCATGTTTGGGTCTGACAAAATTCTTACAAATTCATTCAGTTTGGAAAATGTATTTATCTTTTTAGTGTGTTCTTTGTTTACAAATGTAAACAATGTCATGATCATGCTAAAAAGATCATCTGCCAGGAAAGGAAGCAATGGTTTATTGCACTGGTGTTTTATCAGAAATGGTTCCATATCTCCTAAAACAGACACAAAAATCTGCACTTTCACTGGTAGTAAAATTCCTCAGACCAGCCCTTCTCTGCAGAAGGACTTGGTCTGAGGAATTTTTTCTGTTTTTTTTTGTTTTTTTAAAATTAAGTTCACAAATTTGATACCAACTATCTATGGAGTCATTCACATGTTTTGTACATTTTCTAGCCCATCTATGGCAGTAACACAAAAGTAAAGGGACAGGGTTGCCAGACTGAACTTTTAATATAAAGGTTCGGTTTGGTTTGTTTTACAGCATATCAACCTCAATGGGTCATCTGACATTTTATCAGAAATGGTTCAATGTCTTTAAAACATATACAAAAATCTGCCGTTTCACTGGAAATAAAATATCATTCACCTCCGATAGCACTGCACAGAAGGACTTGGTCTAGGTTAATTTTTTTTTTTTTTTTTTTTTAATTAATTTCACAAATTTGATGACATTTGGCCAAATATCAAGGAGTCATTCATATGTTTGTACATTTTCTAGCCATCTATGGCAGTAATACAAAATTCAAGGAACAGGATTGTCAGATTAAACTTTTAATATAAAGCCAAGCAATAAAAACTAAGAACCAAATAAGTCTTAATATATTTCATCATTTTATCACACAACAAAAGTTAGACACTGATCGTTATTTGCCTGCAAACTTTGAAAATAACATTCTTATTTTTTCAAAGATGTATTTTTTTATCCTATCCTAAGACACATCAAAGGCACATTTTATATTCTATCATCCTTTTTGTCTATATTTTCTTTGAGTCAAATTTGATTCTCAAACTTGTTACTTTTGGCAACAATTGAGACAAATGTAGTTTATCCATTGATATAGTAAAAGTATGTACGATATGTAAAGTATCTACAACTGAATACAAATCAAAACAACTTTTTGCTTTGGAAATTGACATGACTAAAAAATTTTTTTAATTGTTCAAATTTAAAAAAAACAAAAACACTGATAAATTTTTTGAGATTCTATTAAAATGTATTTTGTTACTGTAAAATAATTTATTATTTTCCTTTTGACTATAAATTCAATGAGTGTGAATTAATTTATCTTTGATGGAGATGTTTACTATGTCTCTGACATCTTTTGTCTTTGCTTTTCCTCTTTTCTTATCCAGTGAGTTTACCAGCTAGGAGAAGAAAAGCCTTCATATTATTTCACCCTTTCTTTCTTGTTACCAAACAAGAAAATACAGAAGTAACAATGAGGTCATGAACTTGTTCTAATCAAGAAAACAAAACACCATTTGCAATAATTGCCAAATATTACTGACAACTAAAAAAACAATTTTTTTAAAGAATTTTAGCTTGTAAAAAAGACAGATTTCTAGAATTTGGCACTTTGACTTTCCTGAATTGAGGAAAAGGATATGTGGGCAGCCCAGTTTAGAAAATTCCAGAACTTTTCAAGAAGCATTTGGGCTATTGCTATATTTTCCAGGACTTTTCAAGCTCTCGAAAAAACCCTGTCAATTTTCCAGGACCTGTATGAACCCTATTCATGGTATAAATTACATTTAGATGAGTTTCTTAAAGCATCTAACTTGTTTAAAAACAAAGCTGTCAAATGTCATATATCAAAATATTTAACTTCAACATTTATAGAAATACACAGAGATTTTATATATCCTAAAAATTAAAAAACCAAAGTGAATTCTACATAATAAAATGAAATATGAATTAAATGTAGAGATGACAGACTCTTCTTTATGTGCTGTCCCCCACTCAGGATGTAGGCGATCATGGACCTCCGAAACTTCATGTCCTTTGTAGCTCTTAATAAATTTTGTCTTTTTATCATTTCTCCTAAACCTTCTTTCACCATCCATTAACTCAAGCTGATTAAGTATGTGAGGCACTGTTTTCTTCTATCCCTCAATCTGTCATGTGAGTATCAGATTTTCCAAGCCCTTCTTCCTCATTATGTGCCCCACAAATTTCACCCGTCTCTTCATGATGTTAAGTAGAAGTTTCCTTTTTACTCTGAAACCTCATCATTGCTCACATGGTATTCTCAGGTCATGGACATAAATCCAGCGAAAGACTTCCCTAAGGGAGGTAATTCTAAAATGTATAAGAGTTAGGAAAGAAGCCTTTTATTTAAATTCAGACTAATGTCCTCATTTTTCTTTTGCTGTTATCACAACATTTTCCCTATAACGGCTGAGTGGACTAAGACGTTAGTTTGTGCATTTAATGACAGAGGAATTATGAGTTCAAACCTAGGCTGGGTAGAGTAGATTTTGAATCCGTGGAAATAGGGCAAGCAATAACTGATGTGTAGGGAAAAAAAAAATAAAAAATAAAAAAGAAGACATATCTCTTGACAGGGACAGCAGAATAGATTACTTCTTCAGAAATATTTAAACTGTCAGCTGTATACACCCAGTTTTGTAGAATAATAGATAAAATGGCTTTGAGCAAATGAAGCCTGTTGGTCTTAGCAAGGAGCATCCTTCTTCAAATCTTGAGAACAAAGAACTGTAACAAATAGAAACCACATCACTTGAGGACTTTCAACAGTGGCAACAACTAAAATGGACCTCACACGTAACTCGAAGAGAAAATAATGGCATAATCAAGATGTAGATGTTCCACACTATTTCAAACAAAAGGTTAGGAAGGAAGGCCTGAACCATACTGAAAAGATTGATAAGAGCTACTTGACTTCAGAAATCTATTTTCCTGAAAAGATCGTTTTAAGAGAAAGATTTTATAAATTTCAAATGATGATAGCACTGACTGCCCAGTCAATGAATGCCAAGTGTTTCCTTATATGGAAATGGCAAATATTATCAGTACCAATAGCATTGTGCCCAGTTTCTGAAAAGTGCATTTTGTTATTCCTATGCATTTTTGGATTTCTGTCATAATGTCATTAGTTATTACACTGCCCAGAAATGTCTGATATATATATATATATATTGTTTTTTTAGCATTTCACCCCAAGCAAGATGGAAGTGCCACTAGTGTGCAAGGGGTTACAGAAAGTGAAAATAAGAGTAAAGAGTGGTGTTTGAAGAAAGGATAAAAAGAAGGACGGGAATCCAGATCAAGGCATCAGATACCAATTGACATTCAGTCAGTTATATGCCATGCGTGATACACACTTAGGGGATCATGTATCTTTCGATAAATGACTGACAAGGCAGTAGGTTGCTATTTCTTTCTGTGGGAGACCAGTTGCCATCCAAGGCTATATAAACCAGTCTGTCCTGTTATTTACCCTTAGCTAGAGGGAGGAGAAGAAGAGGATTCATACCTTTCTCAAGAGTATTACCACGTAAGTGCAAGTAATGGATTCAACTGAAACTCAAACTCGGCTCCCTGACATTTAAATTTTTTAAATTATACTTATCAGTGGAGCAAGTAACAGGAAGGGAGTTTCACTGTCGGGAAGTGCAAGAGAAGAAGCTGCTGGAGTAGAAGAGGTTGTTACATTTAACTGTTTCGACAATAAAAGAGTGGGACCGAGATACCAACCTAGTAGCACGTTTAAATTCATGCAGTTGGCGCACCGGTGAAAATAGCTTGTCAGAGCAATTGCTATGAAAATATTTATAGAAAAGACAGAGAGAAGTTACATCATGTCTGTGAGAAAGTGCTTTTTTCACCTGTTACTAATTTTAAAAAATTTTTTTAATTCAAGCGAATTTTATTCTACCACGTTTCTGAAAACTGTTCGAATATTAGATACTTGATTTTTTTTCTGGCTCATGCAAGTACTGGATATTATTTCTATTCCTGGCTCACAGACATGGAGTGTTGTCTTCCATGCAAAGTTAATGATGGCATATGACAATCTTAGCACTGCCCTACTTCCTTGGTCTTGGGATTTAAATTTGGCCATACTAGATAGCCACTACCAGCAAAACAAAAACATCACTCCTTGCTTAATTTTCGTCTACAAAGCCACGTGAAAAAGTATATTGTTGCCTGTCTTGTATGCATCTCTTTGAATTTCATTCTTTAATGATTCTATTTACCTATTCCTTTTTTCCATTTGGAAAATAATTTTTTTTTTTTTTTAATAATTGAAGTGAATTTTATTCTACACCCATTTTGAAAACTTTGTATATCTCAGCTATAAAAGGTTGAGATAGCTATATAAAAAAAAAAAAAATTCTTAGAAAAATAAAACAGGGTAAGATTTCAAAAAGATTTAAAGTGAAAATACTTCATTTTTATAAAATCTACAATCTGTGGTTAACTGAAGCAAGAAATGGCTTGTAAATTTTAACATCTCCAAAACAAAACTACTTTCATTTAAAACACCACAGAAAGCCTTTTCTGCCTGATATTAGCATGGCTGATGCTAAACTCCAACACTCTACACCTCCTTGGGCTCACATTTTCCACTGACATGAACTGGAGCGACTATATTGAATCAATTGCTATGACTATTGCTGGGAAAGTTGTTTCACTGTGTTGTGCAAGAAAATTTTTCTCACCAGAATCCATCAAGAACATTCATAAATTTACCATTTGTCCATCCACGCATTGAATACTGCTGCCATATCTGATCTGGTGCTGCAGCTTCACATCTAGAGATTCTTGACAAAATTCAAAGAAGTGGCTGTAAAGTAACTGATCTTAAGCTAGACACCTCAACGTCAGTCACTTTCTCACCAATATGATGCAACTTCCCTCTGTCTTTTCAACAAATATTTTCAGGGCAACTACATGAATTTAAGTGTGCTGTTAAATTGGCAAGTACATCTCATCGTTTTACTGTTGATGCAACCGCCCCATCTATTCTGACAGTTTCTTTTCTCGCACTTCTCACCTGTGGAACTCCCTTCTGATTTCTTGCTTCCCAGCTAACTACAATTTTCAAAAATGGATTTAAATGTAACATTATTTTCTGTCTTCTGTCTTCCTGAACTGAGTTTCTTTATTGTCCTTTCCCTACTAGCCTCCTCATCCCCCCCATAACCTTTACATGGGGTGAAATGATTAACAAAAAAAAAAAAAAAAATTTAACTGTAGCAGCAGATAGTCTGAGAAACTTACAAGGCGCTAACAAATGAGCAAGAAGAGGTAGAAGAAAACACGGATCATAGCAGGATTCCAGAGACTTCCATTGTTCAGCAGGTGCAACTTCCAATGGCTGAAATCAAAAGAGAAACCAAAAACAATTAGAGCACAAAAATAAGTAATGTTATCATATATTGAAATGGGGGGGGAGACATTGGCACTACTTAAATAAACTCGTCCACTTGTGAAAAACAGGGAAACTATTGAAGGAGGTGGTGGGTGGAATAAGTTTTGTAGATTAGCATTCTTTTGACCTTCCTTTGGCGGCAACATGAATGACAAATTTGAAAATTTAAAATCGCAAACATCATTGACATCTGCATATTTTTAAATTTACTGAATTTGCAAGAAAAAGGTCGCAAACTGTGACACTCTTTGCCAGCCGATTATAATTCTGCTTTAGCTTTTTATAGAGTGCACAGAAACCTCAACAGCCATTGAAACAGAGCAAACCATCAAAAAATCCAGCTAATTTTCAGGTTTAAAGGCTATTCAATCAGAGAGAAAGAAGATGAGGGGTCACTGCAAAAGGTGCCATGTTCGTTAAGAAATAAAAATTAATTAGTGTTAAAAAAAAAAAAAAAAAAATAATAAAATAACTATAACAATTATAATTATTAATTCACTCATTCTAAACCAATGAGAATTGACTTGACTTTTCTCCTCTACACACAGAGAACATTGTCACTATCAGACAAGCAGTTCACACAGACAGGTCATTGACATGTGCATCAACAAAAATTTCTTTCCTTTTCCAGAACATAAAAGTAACATTTATCTTTTAATACTCAACAAAATTTCAAGGAAAAATAAAAATAAAAACAAAAACCGGTCAATTACAATATTCATTGGGTTGGGTATTTGGAAAAAAAGAATCGTTCATAAATCTTCTGAGATCTAGACTTTCAGACAGATGCCATGTATGGCACCAAACCTATTCAGCAATACTCTATTTTTGGTCAAAGACAAATCTTAATAAAAGAGAGTGACTATAGTTTAGCATCTAAAACAGCTTTTCTTTTTTTTATTGTCACATGATACTTACTGTTAACTTTCTTTTGACTGGAAAATGCAGAATTGATTTCATCATTTTGTCAGTGTCGATAATTTCAAAGATTCTGTCTGTAGATGGTAATCTGTTGAGTGATGTTTCCTGCTTACTCAGCTCGTACATTTCTATGACTTTCACTCCCCATAGATAAGGCCTGAAAGTAAAAAAGGTTTCCATTTATTAAGCTAATAGGAAATCAAATCAATAAAAGAATGGAAACAAAGAGTTAATTAAAATCTCAAAGGATTTTCAAAACAGATACAGAAGACATTGAGGAGTTCAGAGTGCAAGATTCAACATCATTTTTCTGTCCTGGGTATGACAAAAAAGTGTATCCGTATCCTGGGTAAGACTATAAACTATGTCTGACTGCAAGGCATTTGATCAGCAGGTTTTGAGGAGTGTGAAACCAACTCTTAATTGCTGGTGTTCCGGGGTGGTAGCACCTGTCAGGGTCCCAGGTTAGCCGAAGAGCAAATGATTCAGATCTTTAGAGGACCACAAGTTAATGATTTATTATCAATTTGTGCATAAACATTGGAAAATGCCAGCTGATTATGAAGAAAAAAATAATTGGATTACATTTGTTTAAACAAGGAATGAAAATGAATCTTGTTTTGAATCCAATCAAATAAGGATCCCAAATTTAATAGAATGTGAAGTTTCATTTTAACAGCAGAATTACAGCGAAGAATCCAAGGATTAGACCATCCTGGGTATGATGATAAACTACATCCGCGTCTTAGGTAAGACAATAAGGCCTTTGATCAAAATTTTTGAAGATCAATGTCAATCATTGACGTCTTAATTCTTACTTCTTTTAAGAAATAAACCAAGACAGAATAATTAAAAAAATAACAAGATTTCCTTAAAATGTTTCCTGAAATACAAACATCAGCTGTAACCTTTATTTTTAGTTTAAAAATTTATGAAAACTTCACAAAAATTGCTAAAACGTTGCAAAAATATGAAAAACTAGATTAAGAAGCAAGAAAAAGAGGAAGTTTGGTTGTTATTTTTCTGTTCTAAAGTGGAATTGTAATGAAGTCAATTTTCTGATTTCAATGCTAATACAATCCCAAATCTGTGAAGAGGAAGCCAAATTTTAGAATCTCTTCTTTGCCAAACACCATTTACCATTTTTAGATGAGCCAACAAAGGCGACTCATAAAAGCAAACAAAATCGAATGATCATGAGTATCAGACATCAAATCCCCTAACTTCCAATTTTTTTTTCCTCTACACATTGTTGAGGTTTATTTTACAGATGGCCGCAGCCAAGGCAAACTGAGGACATGACCGCAGCCAAGGCAAATCATGGGGATGGCCACAGGTAAAGAAAGCCACAACCAAGTCAAACCTAGTGAACAGCCACAACCAAGGCAAACCGGAAGTCGTGGATGGCCGCAACTAAGACAAACCATGGAGACAGCCACAGCCAAGACAAAGAAAATACATACCATTTACTTTGTTTTATTTATGAAACTATATGTGAAATAAAATGTCTTCTGTGACAAATGATTACTTACCTAAGTTTCGTGAGGTTAATTCCATTTTTCTCATAAAGGTAAATCATCTTCAATAGTTTTTGATCTACAATCAAACAGGTGGAACTGATATAAAGTAACAGTATTTATTAATCTGTTTCTTTAAAGATCTTATTAAGAGGTGCAAAATGGAATTAAAGTGATAAAAACAGATATAATATAAATGGAAAAGAGCCAAACTTGGATTATAGTCGTTAGCAAAACTAAAAGAAACTTTTTTTTTTATTGCCAACTACTTGTTATACTGTACCTAGGGACTATAATTGGTATGTCCCAATCTGTATAAATACAGTAGAATATACTGTATGGGGTAGTCATTTGGATTCACTGTGGGATTTCACTTGCAAATCATCTTGATTCACTTCTAGCTCACCACTAGCAATTGACTACTTACTACACGCCACTGGCGAATCTTGTATGTTGTTCCTGTTAGAAATATTATCGTTTCATTTCCAACCTTTGTTCTGGTTATTCTTGTTCAGTAACCTTTTCCTAGGTTACAACACTACTGTAGATAAAAGTCTTCTTATTGTCCTTTTTAATTATCGTATATACTCATGTATAGGCCTACTTCATGTATAGAGTAAACCCTGAAGTTTTTTGTGAAATACCCAATTTATTCATATAGCTTGTATATAAGGAAACCCCAGCCTCTGAGCCTCACTTGTAGACCTACAACATATGGACATATTTTATAGCAAATAGATGGTCTTCATTCGTTTTTTTATTTTTTTTTTTGTAAAAAAGCTATGGGAAGCAGGATAAAGGAGCTTACCTGTATCATTAACGTTAGCCAAAGGTACCATGAGAATGTAGGCCAATCAGGTAGGTTACAGTTACTGAGAATGCATAAATTTTAACACATCCAGAAAAAAAAAAAAATTACCTATGTATAGTGCAACCAGTCATCGAAAATGCATGATTTTCAACCTCTTCAAAAAATTACCTGCGTATAGTGTAACACCTCTATATTTTGGCAATTAAAGAAAAAAAACAAAAAACAGTGCTATAGAAGTGTATATACGGTATGTCAGATTTTATTGCTTTAATCTTCTTCATATTTCTTGATTTAATATCTAAATATGCTTAAAGATGATGCTCTGTGATTGATCATAAGATGATGCTTTGTGATTGATCATAAGACATTAATGCTAGTTGGGTTAATATAAAATATTGTATGTCATCTCCAGTGAGGATTGACATCACCTCTCATAAATGGTCAACCAATTTAGCCTTGCTAACCATTATCTCATGTGAAGGTGTTATGCTTTGCTGGTGAGGTAGTGAATGCCTAAGTAAAGCTAAAAAAAAAGAAATTCATCTCTGCCCACTTCAAAAATTCATGATCACAGCTGCACGTGAAAGAAATACAGAATAAAATAGAAAAGAAAATTATATTTCTTTGTTGTATTCTTAAAGAGGTTATGAACAAAGGTGGTACTCAAGTGAAGGAACAGCAACAAGCACATAGATGAATGAAGGGAGAATACACTACTGAAAGACAGGGAATCAGGTGGCAGGCTAGTAATTCCCAAAGCAAGCCCCAGATATATCCTTTGCTCACTATATATAGCTACTGATATAGTCAGTCCACATAAGTGATAAAGAGTGGGGGACATTCCATTATAACATTCTTCACATCTAACTACTAGATTTTACAAGTAGGAAATTAGATATTACAAAGTCGAAAGAGTTCTTCCTTCAGAGTGGATAAAAGTAATTTTTAGTGGAAAACTTCAACCCCTACACAGTTTTCACAAATGTATAATTTTAGTCATTAGATATAGAAAAATAAAATTAAACTTACCACACGTGGATAAAGAGGCTCCATAAACACCCATAAGTACATAGAGGTGACCCTCAGCACAGCATTCAGGTTGACGTTCAATCACCATTAGCAAAATATCCACAAGCAGTTCTGGATAAATATAAAGAAATCAAATATTTTAACAGCTCAGCATTTGCAGAAATGATTTATATCTATCTATAAAAGGCAGGATGTGTGTGTGTGTGTGTAACGAATATGCGGCAGCAATTTTAAATGGATTTGCACCAAAATTTACATGCACATGCTCAAGTTAGTGGAAAGGCCAAGACTGAATTTGCATTTCCCAACTCCCATCAATAGTGGAAATAATCGATTTTTTCATGCTTCTACGGTAGTTTTCATGTAGTTTGTGGCCATTTTGTACTGGCCAGAGTTAGAGCCTATAGCTGGCTGCCACAAATAGGCAGGAAGATCCTATTGACAAGCATGAGAGCCAACAGCTGACTGACACAAATGTTAACTAGCATGCAAAACAAAAAATCAGTAGCTGCATTTGTCACAAGTGGGAAAAATTTAAATCTGCATGGCACTTTACTCCAATTGGCTCATTCGCTTGTTTAAACTCAATGTTGATTCTGATTCATGAGAACTGGGTTGGGTGTGAAAAAAGTATTTGTTGTTAACATTCTTTTTCATTCGGTTTTTCCAGTTACGAGCCCTTTTTAAAGCTGATCGTTTTGTGTTCATTTTGTTTAGTTCTTTTTTTTTTCGTAATAGATTTAATGTTTAGTATAGAGCTTAGAAAAATTTGTAGTGAGATAGGCAAGAAGTAAAGCATGTAGCAACATCAGTACGGCAAAGAGCACTCCTTTAAAGGCAAGGAAGGGCAAAAATATTTTAGGTCAAGTGATAGCGATTGCTGTACGAGTCGTACGATTTTTGAATCAAGCACGGTCAACGCTGGGCCATGCTGCTAGTCATAAATAAGAAGTGATAGGTTCTGAGATTCCCTATGGAACGGTAATATATGTGAGAAATATGAAAATGAAAACAGCATTTGCACATGGATCTCATAAAGTTGCTCCCCCTCTTCGATGTGCCATTTCTTTTCAGGATGTAGGAAGTTGTGGAGAGCCATGATCACTATTCAGTTTTCCCCAATTCACTAAGGCTCCTAAGCCCACCTTCTGCCATCCATTCACACAAGCTTATCAGGTAAGTGGCTTGATGCCTTCCCTTATCTCTGTTACCATCAATATGCCCTGTGAGGGTTAAGTTTTTCAAGCCTTCCTCCCGTGTTATGTGTCCAAGGATTTGATTGATTTGTGTTTTTTATGGCTTAACATTTTTCAGATTTGAATTATAACTTTTTTTTTTTATTTTTTATTATTTGTTGATCAGCCAATACAAAGCTCAAAAGCCACTCAAGGTAGAGGGTTACTGAATGAGGCTGTTGAAGGTTGTTAGCGATGGACACGAGACTTGAAGAACAGAGAAGCATCTTCTTGAGAGCGTTCCACAAAGTAGCAAATTTTGATTCCCGCCTCTCAGCAATCCCTTGCATCTTAGTGGCATTATCGCCTTGGTTGGGGTGAAATGAAAAGGAAAAGAGTGGGAGTAAAAAAAAAACAAAAAAAAAAAAAAAAAACATTAAATCTACAGACAAAATGGAATAATAAAGTGGATAAAAATATTCAATTAGCTTACTTTCTATTCATATATTGAATACAGAGCTGGTGTCATTGATAGTCATGCTACATTTTTTTATTTATTTTTTTTTTTATTTATTATATATTAAAGGTTCAAATCCCAGGTTTCAGAGCCATTCATGGTAGATGATTACTGTATGTAAAAGGGGGTAAGTCGAAAAGAAATGAAGATTATGAGAAGGATTTAAAGAGGTTAAGATTGTAGTGTACTCAGGGAACTATCCATGCAGGAGTCTGATCAACAGAGGTAACTGTTCTTGGAGAAAAAACCTAACATCTCAGGGTAAACATGACTTCAGTCTGGTGACACCTAAAAGGATGAAATGCATAATACAAATATTTTTCCCACTTTCTCATTAATTTTCCTAGCATTGTTCTGGTACATTAAAATTTATATATCATTTTCACCCATTTATTTATTTATTTATTTATATATATATATATATATATATATATATATATATATATATATATATATATATATATATATATATATATATATAGAGAGAGAGAGAGAGAGGAGGCACGGTGGAGTAATGGATAGTGGCTTGATTGAGGAATCGAGAGCCGAGTTCAATTCCAGTCGAATCCATTACATTCACTTACGTGCTAATACCCTTGGGAAAGGTATGAATCCTCTTCCTCTCCTTCCAGCTATGGGTAAAATAGGAGGGCAGACTGGGTTCTATCGCCTTGGATGGCAACTGGTCTAGGAGAGGGACAACTCTGAATTCAAAACTGGCGGAGGGTCGTTTGGAGACTTTGTGGCGTGTTAGTGCTCCAGGTCTCTGTATTCGTCCCTTCAAAAACTGTGGATGGTCCTGCACCAAACCTTCACCACTATAATCAAATCTCACGTGCCGGTTTCCTGGAAACTGATATGCTTGACCCTCATACGTCAAGTTCGATTATGATAGATAAATAGTGTATGGATAGGAATCCGCAAAGGATAAAGAACAAGTAGGAAACAGACCTTAGTCTAACATGTTTTACTTTATTAAAGTTTTGCCAGTGAAACATGTTGACTAAGATCTGTTTCCTACTTGTTCTTTATTATATATATATGTGTGTGTGTGTGTGTGTGTGACAGAGACACCCCTGCCCAGGTGGATTTATTAATCAACGGTCCTAAAGGATTGGGATGAAGGTACTAATTAGTTGGGTAGAAGGGATTCAGGAGTAATTCCAGAAATAGTTTTTTTTTTTTTTTTTTTTTTATAATTGTTTTTGGGATCGAGTTATTAGTTAATTAGGTGTAATAATTCCAGAGTGATTAATGGACGGGCTCATTAAGTAAAGCTTATGATAAATGGTGAATTGGATTTTTGGGAGGTCTGAAAGACAAAATCCAACCCAAAGTCCTCAGACGAGATAAGTGGTTTTAGCAAGACTCAAGTGGATGATGTCTGCGGAAAACCCAGCAGGGAATTCAAATCCATTTTTAGTACCACTTGAGAAATAGTCTCCTGCAGACATTCTGAGATTAGACGAAAATGCATGCTGGTCAAGACAATTCGCATATTAAATTTCATGGGTGGTGCCTAAAAATTGTTTATCTTCGCCTCACTCTATATTAGCTGCCTGCAAGCTTGAGTTAAGCAGAATGCAGCAGAAACGGCTTAGTGGATCTTGCTGGTCTGGTCAGTTGGTTGTCATGCGTCAAGAAGTCCGATCTGAACCAAAAGATAGAAATAGAACCTGTACGAATCCAGATAATTTTGTCAACAAAGCCGAGAAAGCAAGCTGCTATATGTTGTGTACAGACGAAGATTCACGAATTACCTCCCTTAAATCAGCTGGATTCATATCGGACGAATTGATGCAAACATCAAGTCGGTAGTCCATCTCCTGCCATATATGCTGTAGGATTTCTTGGCTAATATTCTCCAGTGCTACAGTGGTTCTTTGTCTAAGTCCTTCTAGGCTTGTAAGAAGAGGTGGGATATATATCTGTCCTTCTACAGAGCTCCATAGGAAAAAAAATCACAAGTCAAATGATGTGAATGAGGTGGCCATTTCAACAGCACATTGTCATTATCACTGGCACATCCAATTCTCTTCCTGCAAGATTCTCATTGAGATAAATCCACACAGTCAACTTGGTTTTTACACATTTTGTTAAAATTCGAAATTATTTGATCGAGAATTCGCTATGTTACTAGATGATGTCAATTTTTTTTTGGACATCCTGTGTGTGTGTGTGCATATATATTAATTATATATTCAAACATATATTGTTAATTATAACAAACAACAAACGTCTATTATGCTTGATCATGAGTTGTTCTAAGTTTCATATAGTGGCTTTAGTCTTGGGAGAAAATAAAGGCAGAAGCTGTCCAACATTTGGGTATTTTTTTTTTTCATTATGTTGTTCCTCGATCTAAACTTTTGGCTCAAAAGATTGAACAGCATAATAAAAAATACCCAAATGTTGGACAGTTTCTGTCTTTATTTTCTCCTGAAACTAAAGCCACTAAACAAAGCTCAGAATGGCTCATGATCAAGTATAATAGCCATTTGTTGTCTGTTATATTTAACAATATATGTTTGAATAATGATCTGCTGCCCTAATACAAACACACACACACACATATATATATAAGGATATTACCCTGAAAATATGTCAAAATTGCTACACAATTACAGTCATATTTTGATGCATAGATTTATTTAGATTTAAAAGCAAAATACAACCTGTTTTCAATGTTAATATCCTAAAATAAATAATATTGCTCAACTTTGCATTGAACCCTCTTTTAAATTAAATGTCATTAATGCTGGAATTGTATTCTATTAGTTTTCATCCTACCTTGAGATTATATATATATTACACAAGGCAAATCAATGACTGGGCACCTCCTACCACAATGTAAACAGGATGGAAATGCAACAATTTAATGATGCGGACCAGTTCAAAGTCTAGTGGCATTTCATTGGAACACCAAAAGTCTGCTAAGAAGCTGGAAATATGCACATACACACACACAAAACGTATCTCTTTAAAAAACCATCAATAAATAGTTGTTCAAAATTTGCTATATTTATGGAAGGGCGGACACAATCAAGGGAAAAGCATTGTAGTTCTGATAATCACTTTAGATGCGAAACTGACAGTCATCATGCACTGTTGAGGTCATTTTTTATACACAAATATATTCAGAAGAGTGTTTAAAGTTGTAAATTAATAATAAAAAACTGGGAGGTAAACATTAGCAAAGACATATATATATATATATATATATATATATATATATATATATATATATATATACACACACACACACACTGAGCAGCCAATTGGGTCCTGACCAGATTCGTTGTAAGTTTTGCTTACCTTTAGATTCTGCTGATTCCGATCCCATAATAACAGGCAGAAAACCAGAATGTGAGATCAACATTTCATGTAGATCCTTGAGGCTTGGAGAAATTGTTTCACTATTTGATTCTGTGTAGATTCTGGGAATCAGATGGCTGACCAAACGCAACACTCGACTGTCAGAAAAATAAAGCCTGTGGTGAAAAGAAAAAAAAGGGTCTAACCAAATGAGGTTGAGACTTTATCAGACATGAGGAGACATCAATCTCCCAAATGCAACAACCTCCGACTGCTGCTGGAAAATTCTTTTGAGGAATCCAAAATGAAGCGTCAAATATATATATGTGCGTGTGTGTGTTATTTGCAGACAGTACTGTTTCGCTGCATCACAGCTCCTCAGTGCGATTAGACAAACGAATACCTCAAGCCTTGATCGAAACCCAACCAATTTTGTATCAGTCAGAGTTTCTACCACTGAGCCATCCTCACTCAACAGAATGAGTCATCCAAATCTAGCATATTGTTTTTTACAAACATAAACAAATGCTAAGCAGCCATAGTGCTCCATTCATTTTCCTGAAGAGCTTCGCATTTACGCAGGTGATTGTTTTTAGAATTAGCTTGTCATTCAACAGTGCTCAATTGAAAATATGTTTTCAAGAGCTATATGAAGAGGAGGCAATCCACAAAACAGTTTTACACGACCCTAAATGCTTGCACAAATGAACTCAGTTGGATGTCCTACAGAAGAACTCTCCAACTGTGACATGATTTCAAACTTGAACACCAGCTTAAGCTTAACACATCACTCTTGCCAAAGCCAGTCTCCCTGAGCAGCTATGGATAGGATACAAAAGGATTAACTGATCTTTATTCCAGCTTAAAATTTGTAATACCCATTGATGAAACAGGTCAATTTAAAATGGGGTTCAGTTGATGCAGTTGTTACTCAGTAATATATTTCGATATGTTGGACATAATAGTTTTGTACAGAATGAATGTCATCTTTTTGATTTGCACGTTCCCCGAAGTTGTATGGGCACAGAGATATGAAACCAACTGATTATTAAAGACAAGAAGGTGTAATTTTCAGTTTTTTAAGAGTTTGATTTCTCTGGTATTTCATCAACTAAAGTTTTCAACTTTTAATTCTTTTTTGAAAAACAACTTCAAGTCCTGCCCACCAAATTGATCTCAGAAGAGATTATTTTGATATGTGTAGGGAGACAACTCTGGGCACAACAAATATGAAAAACACCACAATGAAATTCTCAGCTTTAAAAATGCAGTAAAAAAAAAAAAAAAAAAAAAAAAAGCACCTATGACATAATTTAAAGAGATGTGGAATAAAAATGCATCATCACATAAAATAAAGCATTGTACGTTTAATAAAGAGAAAATATTAAATTTTGTTTACATGCTAATTTTATCAAAATAGTCTTGAAAATAAACAAAATATCAACAGTTGAAATTAAAGGAAATTTCACTATTTTGACCTGTTTTCACGGTGTAAACTTGGGATGTTATGCTGTGCACAGTGAAAGGACAAAGACAATATACCCCACCTCACTTATCATTAATTGATGGTTCTTCAATAAATAATGCCTGATGTTCAAAACTTTGATGTATTTCTAATGTGCCACATTTCAAATGCTAGTTCATTAATGAGTTTCCAACTTCTTGACGAAGATAATTTTTATTTTTATGAAGTGGTTAATTTCAATTGAATCTTTCATCAGTGTTTCTTTTGTTATTTTTAATCTCCAGATTTTTAGTCATCTTACCTCAGAGCACTTCTTATAAAAGATGTCCAGCTTGAGAGAAGCAAATCATTGTATTCAGGAGGCATATCCTGAAATGATATAAAAGCAAAGATTAACTTTTTATATAACAAGACTAAGGTTACTCTTAACTTAATTATTTTACCACAAAAATTGATTTTGTTTGCAATGTTATGAAATTAAACAGAGGCACTATGAATAAAGTACTTTTCGATTTTACAAAGACAATATGATAAAAATCATTAACAAACATGAACAAAAATTCTATATATTAATAATACAAGTTAGTTTTCAATTGATTAATAACTGATTCTCAACTGAAAGAAATTTATTACCAGTGTATGGATACAGAAGACACTCTGGTGGAGATAAATCACATGGTCACATAACAGCCACTAAGTGATATCACTCCATACAGTGACCAAAGTGGCAGTCAATTTCAGTTCATTTTACATTAGTAGTGTCACCCCTGCAGGTTACAAGTCTATGGTGCCATTTCCCTTTGGGAATATATCTTTCCCAGATATAGAAAGAAACTCCAGCTTGCATCCTCAATGTGAGAATACCCAAGACTTACTGTTTCCCCGTTTGTGGAAAATGTCCATGCCTGGGAAAATAAATGAATCCAGACCATTTGAATCTGCAATCCAAAACATGGCTTCTCCAGACACAGGATTATCTCCAAATCATATGTAAGACCCTTCCATTTTGTTTCACCTTACACTCTGCTTTGTTGCGTAGATATATGTGATACTTGTGTATGTGTGTGTGTGTTTATATATAAATATATATGTGTTGTGCATGTCTTAATAGTATATGTTCTCTTTGCGAACAAAGCTTCTTTGTCATTCTTTTTTCTTTCAGCCATTCTGTTCTGTCTCGTCTGCGAACTACAGTGTTATAATATTACAGATATAATAATGCCCATAATGGGAGAAATACAAATGGGAGAATAAATCTTTCTTTCATAGCTCTCTCCCATTACACCAGAAATTAAAAAGATAAACTTTGAAAACTATATGTTCCACATAGTAAATAAAATGAATACATTTTTCATAAACTGTAATATTTCCTCGAAAATTTTTAACCCTTAATCCGAGATAGCAGTTCCATACATCTTAAATGGTAAAGGAACATAGAAAACAAAAAAAAAAAAACAATGAGAAGTCTATCAATATAGAAAGCACACTTCAAATTCCCAGTTTGCCTACTTAAATGTTTCTTTACTAAGACATTTGTGAATACTCAGTTCTTGTAAAGGCTTACAACCTGAACCCTCATGACAGAGAAAGGATAGTAGCAATAGAAATTAGCTATAAAAGTATAAAGAGTATATACATACAATGAGGTATTGCTCCAGGTAGGTGAGAAGCTGCAATTCAAGTTCCTTGTCCTCAGGTGCACCCACTCGTGCCTGGACACTGTTGAGGAAGCTTTTCATACAGACATCAATCCGGCAAAGGGCTGCGTCCACAGATTGGTCCTTTACACTTTCTGCCCACTGGGTGAGAGCCAAAAAGATTTGCAATTTTTTAAGCGATATTGTTTGGTCCGAGTCAACAAGTTCTTTGAAAGATGATAAGGAAGGCATATGTTTGTATCCTGAACAAAACAAAAAAGAAAAAAGAAAAAGTGAAAATAAAATAATAATATACAGAAACAAGAATTTTTTTTCTCCTTTTTTAAATTCTAAAATTCACCCAATATAAGCAACTTAAAATGGTAACACTGAATGATGAGTGCGATATAAATGAAAGTGGAGATTATGAAGATAAGGAGGAACCGAGCCTGGACATGAGTTGATTATTCTTGTTTAACAGCACAGATCATTTTCGTGCGGAATACTTTTAATATACTTATGATTTGTCAGAAAGTTACATTTTAAAGAGGTTCTAAGAATTTTTTTCTTTTTGAATTGTGAAAGATTACATCTCTGTGTACAGCTTCACCTGCTTTATAAAGTTAAGGATGGTATTTGGGTTGGTTTGTCCGAAAAGCTTTGACAATTTTCCCCCTAATATATCTAAAGTCAGTAGAGTCTATGAATATGTGCTTGATCTTATAGGGTTCTTGACATGCTGTACATATTGGAGGTTCCTTGTTTTTAAGGAGAAACCCTTCACTTGAGGAGATTAAAATTGTTAGCACTGCTTAAATTAAATGGTTCACCTGTAAAAAGTAGGGAAGAACTTTTTTCTTTTTATTAATTTTTGTAGATTAGCTTTCCATCCTCAAGCCACACCATTTGAAAGAATCAAACAATATTAATTTTCCTTATTTCAGGAGGGTCCTCTTTGTAGTACAGTATCAAATTGTTTAATTGCATTTAAATTTTTAAAGATCAAAGCTGACAGGTAAGCTAGAAGATTATAGAAATGCACCTCTCCAAGGAATAATTTATTCATTTTTTTCATATTCCAGATCAAAAAAAGTTGGTTTTTTTTTTTTCTAAACTTTAAGAGAGGAGTTCAGTTTGATATGTAAATTGATTTTACATACAACCTTTTAGATAAGTGAATGAGACGTCTTACCTGGTGCATGTAATCGGGCAAACTGGTGTAAAAGCTGAAGATAGTCTTCCTGAAGGCTTGGAGAATTGTCAGATCTAATGTCACTTTCTGATATGTAAGCACAAAGGTATTTGCGAGCAGCTTTGCTGATCTTGGAAAGACACTTTTTACTTTTATCTGAGGGGGGAGAAAAAAAAAAAAGAAAGAAATCACTACAGATGTCCAGAATATGTCAAAGAAAAGCTTAAGAAAAAAAAAAAGTATTTAATCCAGACCGGAAACAGAAACAAATAAGTATAAAAGGGATACGATGTTTATAAAAGTAGACACTGAAGTCCACAATTTGTTTTAGTTTTCATAAATATACAAACAGCACAACACTTTCTAAACATATATGGGAAATTAATAACAAAAACCAAATTACACTAAAATCATCAAGGAAATCAGCCTACAAAATAAATAAATAAAAAAAAAAAACTATAAACTTTGTCTGGAGGAGAAAATAGCTATAAGCAACTTCCCAGACCAACACTAATTACTAAATAAATGATTGGAAATTATCTCAAAATGCAGACACTAAAACATACTTTTAGTTATAAATCAAAAACTAAAAATATCTAATATATATATCTTGTAAAATATCATAATGAAAAATGCAAATATATAGACTATATACAACTCAGATAAAATAATATACTTTATATAAAACCAATACTCGAAACTAAACTGATAACCTGCCTCGAAAATAAAAATAAATAAATAAAAGAAATCTAAATAAACCAAGTAAATAAGAAACTCCAAATGAATGTATACAAGTAAATGTAATAATAATAGACAACAAATAATTAAGTAATCAATAATAATGTTATAAAAAGTTAACAAATAACATTATGAAATTACTACAAATAACTACATTCAGATCCAACATTATTTCTGATCAATAGCTTCTAGAATAATTTGAAATATTACCATTACTGCCAACCAAATAACTGTGGTTGTAGGTAGTAGAAATTTGTTTTTGTGAATGCTTGTGCCTTCTTATATCCAAAGAGGTATGCTATAGACGTTGGAAAGCAAATGATACAACCCACAAGAAAAACAAAAGTTGTAAGTTTTCAACGAGTTGATTGAAGTCAAAAACATTTGTACACAAAACAGAGACAAAAGGAAAAATGGAATAAAACTTACTTGTCGGCAGTGTTCTTTGGCATTTACACCAAGTAATACAAATATTCAGAAAGTTCTCCATGTTTTGCTTTAAGTCCTCTCTGTCAAGTATCCAATGGACAAAGACCTGGTCAAGCGCAACACTGTTCTCCATCAGAATTCTGGCAAGGGTCAGGTGTTCAGAGGAGGCAGAGGTCAACAGATGAACAAAGACGTTAGACGGACAGGAAAGACAGTAGTAAGGCTTAGTCTCAAACAAAGATTTGGTGACTGTCAGCAATTTGCTAGAAGATTCTGAGTGTAAAAGGAGAGAATAGATGCTATTTAGACTATCTGCTTCGAGCAGGAAAGTTTTACAATTCCGAATCATGTAACTCAGAAAATTGACCAACATATGGCCAGCATTGGAAGTTTTCATTTCGGAAAGCAGCACTTCTGGGGGTAATTGAAGGAGAAGTTCAATAGATTTCTGGATGGTAGCAAAATCTATGTATGGGAGGAGCTGTTTTAAGACCATAAGAGCCAAAGACATATCTGCGGAATGACCCTTAGATGCCAACAACGAACACTCTTCTAAATAAACTTTGATTTTGGTACAGTAACTGCCAAGATGGCCTTTTCCACTAGTTCTGGGAAACTCAGAAAAACAAGATGTTAATTCTTTGGTGACCAGATTCCGCAAAAGCCTGAACGTCTCATCTTGACCAGGCGTAGACTTTTTAGCAAGTCCAGACTCGACTGCCAGGAACCAATGCTGAATTGCACTCTGCTGAGAGAGGAACTTAAGAAATTCTGATAGCATTCTGTCATTGGCAAAGGTTTCAGTTTGCAAGATTTGGAAGTCTTCAGAAACTTGGTCAAGTGGAACATTTGACTCTGTCGTCGGTTGGCACTTTCGGAAAAGATGTTTTACGGTTTTCTTCAAGTATTTGAAAGTAAGTTGAAGAGTAGATAAATCTTGGTTCTTCGAAACATCCACCTGTAAAAAAAAAAAAAAAATATATAAGAAAAAACAAATTTGTAAACAAATATTTACTTCTTTGGAAGAGGATTAACCTGTTAGCCCTTGAGAGAGTTCAATTGAAAAATCTCTCATGTGAAACAAAGTGCAGAAAAATCTAAAGATATCACACAAGTGCAATTAAATTCATACAGATCTCAACATCAAGTCTTACAAGTTGATTTTACATGTAAGTAAATTGGTTTCTTCTTCAAATTATGCCAAATTTAGCCTCTCTGATATTGCAGCTTGTTACAGCTTTTATAAAGTTGTAGATTTATGGCATATCTCGTAGATCTTCTGATGGGTGTTAAGACTTTTGAAATATAGTGCTATACAATTGTAAGTGCATTCAGACACTTCCAGACTTAGTCCATGCTTAGAATATTGCTGCCACATTTAGTCCGCTGCCCCTGCCATTTACCTTGAGGTCCTTGATAAAATCCAAAAGAAGAATCAACAATATTATTGGTCCTAATATGGTTTGTTTGGTTTGGTTTGTGGCATATTAACCTCAATCGGTTATTTAATGCTGACAAGATTTTTATTTCTTTTTTCAAATATTTAATGCTGATACTAATTTTTTTAAAAAGTATTTCTGGTATTAAAATCTATTTTTACACTTTCATAGTGTTTTGAGTCAGGTTGTGGGGTCAATTATTTGCCCATAGCTGGGACCCTAACAAGTGCTATCACCCAGGGAACAGGCAGACCTGGGAACACCAGCAATTAAGAGGTGCTTCCACGCTCCTCAAAACCTCCGGATCAGAGGCCTTGCTGTTGGATGTAGTTTATCGTCTTACCCAGGACGCAGATGCAGCTTATCGTCATACCCAGGATGAGGTCCTGATCTGGTGGCCAGGCTTTACTCAATTTCCCCTGCTGTAAGGTTGCCTCTCTGTCTAATTGTTCGAATGAGCTTGTTGGGGATGTGCAGAATTAATTGTAATTGAGTGAATCAGAAGGAATTTGTGTAGGTTGCATGACTTTCTGCATCCACAAACAAATAAATAAACAAATTTTAAATACAATCAAAAACAAGACATATTCAATTTAGAAACCAACAAAACATTTATATACAATTAAAAGTAATATATATACAGGATATTTTGGTATATGTTACTATGGCAAAGTGTGATATTTGAGATTTCGGTATGTTCAGTTACAATCTTTCTGGAATTGTGTTAATTAATATTAAAAATTTCGATGTTAAGTGTTTTTAGGAATAAGTTCTTATAGAGTGGTCTACCTTTGACTGTAATAATTCTGAATCGTTTGAATGTCGATTTTTACTTAATAATGTAGTGAATATAGTTCACTTTGGATAAGCAAAGTTGTTTTAGGTTTGCAATTTGATGTCCACAGAGTTGGTCAAGTTTAAATTGCAAGTGAGTCAGCGTTGATGTACTTTTGTGCGGTAAAGTCGTGATTTCGAGTGACATGGAATATGTTGGCAATTTCGCTGTGGAGGCTCGTCTCTGACCCTTTTGGCCAGTCGGTGTTTTCTTTTATATGCTTTGAAAGTCCAAAATCGGCTCAAAGAAGTTTTGGCGCAATTTTGTTTTGCACGTGAAACTTTCAGATTATTGTGTTGTTAAACAATGAGATTTGTTGATTTGCCTATTACGGTTTTTTATTGGTCGAAGTTTTCCATATGAAGGCGTAAGGTATAGACTGTTCTGTTACTAGGGGTGATAGGTAGGAAAGGACGAGTCTACAAGCTATTTGCTATGGTAGTTAGGCGTTTTGAATTTAAGTGTAGTACTAACCTTGCTTGGGTGAAATGCTTAAAAAAAAAAAAAAAAAAAAAAAACACACACACACACATGCAAAATAATAAATTTTGCAAATGTACACAGACACAGATAAGTTGACACATACACAATTTACATACCTGCGACAGTTGTGTCTGGATGTAGCACAGACATTGCTGGGATGCTCTCAGTGTCTCTGACATATTCAGTTGATTAACAGATTCAAACAGCAGAGTGACAAATTCACTATTATTGATGAGATTCTTCCCATTCCGGTGAAATGTTTGCAGTAAGACCGACGAGCGTTCATCTTTATATTTTTCAACATCAATTGTCTTTTCTTTTTGGGATACCTTAGAAAGAAAAAAAAAAAAAAAAAAAAGAAAAAATCATTATTTTTTTTCACAGGCATATCCAGCATTTTTGGCTTAAGTGACACAAATCTGCTCCAAAAACAATTTTTAGATTTCTCCCCAAGCAGTGATCATACATTGAAATTTAAAGTTTAAAAAAAAAAAAAAAAAAAAAAAATAATTAATGAGAAAAATATAATCTCTTTGCAAAGATAATTGATTTAGTTTTGCAATTTGAGTCACAAGACAGACATATCTTTGTGAAAGTGAAGCACAGAAAGAATATTGTGAAACATGACCAAAAGTCCATAGTCTCACTTCTGTTGCAAATCTTCACACCAGACATTTTCTCGTTTTCATGTGTGTTATGGCAAGAGGGGAAAAATAATGATGCATTTGAAGATGAAAATACACATACTTTACTGTCTGGAAGCCAGGATTTAATGTACGACACAATTCTCTTTGATATCCAGCTGTGCTCTTCTGCCGATTTCCTTTCTTCTGTCACCAAAATGCACAGTGGAATGGGATTGGTCTGGCTATGGAACAAGTCAATCAACACAGATCGAAGATAATTCTTTAAAGCTGAAATCATACACATAATTAATTTTTTTATTTTCATAGAAGGTTGAAATGCTTTTAGACAAGTTCAAGTAATTACAGAATAACAATTGCATCTCCTTTTTAACATTTGCCTAGTTAGCAGGGACTTACAATATCCTGAATGGATCCCTTGCTCTCTCCCCCAATTTTTTTTTTTTTTTTTTTGAGCAACTCATTTATGTGAGACTAAATTTTAGGCTGGGATTGATGTGTAATATCTGTTCTTTTTTGAATGGAGAAAACATCTGGTTGTGGAGACGCATCACTCTGTGGCATTACCTTCCCCATTGCATGAAAAGTAGAAAGGTTGTTGGAATATCAAAGCCAGCATGACAGTTTTAACAATTTTGGTCATTTTTGTTTAGTGACATATCAACACCTACATGGGTTATTGTTGTAGAGTAGTTTTCACAGTGGAGGCTTGTATTTCACTAAGTCGGTCCTAAAAGGGTCCGACGTACAAAACGTTAGGAACTTGAAATAATAGTTAATGACGCAGCAATCTAGTTGGGGTGGTTGATACTTTAATGTCTGACATCGACTGACTTGACCAACTCCACTGAGCCCCCTGGCGACTGCTACTACTACTACTTATTATCTGTGGGAGAGTCTATTAACAATAGAATAGGTATGTTCTGGTATAACAGTTATCTAATGCCAAAATCTAAATATGAAAATTAAAACATTATAATTAATTCAGTGGAATGACATTATTTCATGATTAATTTATAATTAATTAGCTGCATTTCTTTAACCAAATCATCTTACAAAGTAAAATGAGGAGACAAACTTGTTTCTCCTTACAAAAAATGCGATTAATCATAGCAAATTGGTTTTTGCCACTTTTTTTTTTTTTTTTTTATATAAAGATGTATTGCTGGTATTTTTTTACTATTAAAAATGTATTTTTGTAGTTTCCTAGTTTTTAGTGGGTGGGGGTATCACTATTTGCCCATAGCTGGGACCCTAACAGGTGCTACCACCCTGGGCCAGGGTGAACCTGGGAACAGCAAATAAGAGGTGGTTTCATGCTCCTCAAAACCTCCAATCTCCAGATCAGTTGCCTTGTTGCGGGATGTAGTTTATTGTCATATGTAGGGCCCCAGTAATTATAATGTCTGAGCAATTTTTGGATAAGTTAATGTGCACCCCACTTTAAAAACAACCATGGAGAAGTGCATAAATAGACTAAATCCACTGATATCAGTGTGGCTTAAGCAACTCAAAAATGAAAAAAGAAAATGACTAAAAAATGTAAAATTAGATGAAAAGTGTTACTAAATGCTAGGCTGTATTCAAGTGTTCTACCAATTACACTATCAGAAAAGTGATTTTCTATTTATAAAAAAAAAAAATAAATAAAATAAAATTAAGCAATCATTTAAGCTCCTTGACTACTTACCAAGAATTAATTCTTACATATTATTAGTTACATTTTACTAAATTTTGAGTACTAAGTTGCTTATCAAAAAAGTGTAGGCTCTAACATAATGCCGACCTATGTCTACCTTTCAAAGGATTGCAAAGCAAACACATGTCTACTTTTAACTAGTTACCATGGTTGAATTTTGCCTTAAGACTTACATTTGACCGGAAAATAATCCATCAGTGGTTGGCTTGTCATTAAATTAACCAACCACTAATCATTTAATTTCCCCATAAGCTCCGCCCCTTAACTGCAGATGATAGGAATTTCCACCTTTGAAGTTTTATGGCCCAACAGAAAAAAATGATAGACATTTCACCAGAGTTGTTGGTTTGATAAGGGGGATCACTTCAAACAAGGTGCATTTGGCAGTTGAATAATAAACATGTATTAATTTCTCCAGGTATTTATTTGGCTATTTTGGATTTGTGAAGGGCAATTGCCGGGGGAGAGGGGGTTTGCTCAGAACTTTTATCTTTAATTTTCATTTTACTGTTTCATCATTAAAACTAAAATAAGAATCCCCCCTCAGTAGATAAAAAATAAGAATCCCCCCCAAATAGATAAAAATGAGAATCCTCCACCCACACAAATAGATAAAAATGAGAATCATCCCCACAAGTAGATAAAAATAAGAATAACCCCAAGTAGATAAAAATAAGAATCCCTCAAAGTAGATAAAAGAATAAAAATAAGAATCCCCACCAAGTAGTTAAAAATACCCCCCATCCCGTAGATAAAAATAAGAATCACCCCCCCCTCTTTCAAGTAGATGGACTAAATGTTTCATTTAGGAAGCAAACAATTCATTGGGAATTCATGAGGTACCCATCTTGAAAGATTAGTGGAAGACAAATGTAATTTTCTAAAATTATGAAAAAGCTCCCAAAAATATGCAGAGGTCAGCAATTATGAAACAATAACGAGTGTTCACCATATTCACGTACCCTTAGTCAACAAATTTTAGTAACATGTTTGGAGTCTCAAACGAATACCACAAACACCAAAGAAGCAGACTCAATTGAAAGTTAAGCACAAGAAACCCACCCCTTGCACGAGCTTGATATAGGCTTAAGTTTCACTCCGTCGCTTACTAACACTACAAGTTAGGACTGAACTCACTACATAAATGAGCTGACCCTCAATGCAGTATCTGATGCATATTCTGTATAGAAAATTTTTAGATGCAGATAAAAAAAAAAAAAAAATGGCTAGCTGATACAAACAAAAAACATGACTTTGTTGGTAAAAGTAAATGAATACATCTTACGTTTCAATTCTGAATGTGATTTCTGTGCAGTTTCCTTTATAGCAACAATTATTAAAGGACTGAAAGGTAACCTGGAAAGACAGGAATAAAAAAAAAAAAAAAAAGATGAAGAGATTATACAGACTCTAATATTTTCCACTACTGTGAAGTGGAAAGATTATATTGAAACAAGTGAGAGGCCTGATGCTCGTAAAGTTGGTTCATTATGTTGTGCTAGACAAATTTTTTTACCAAAATCTATCTTATATATTTATAAGTCTACCCTCTGTCCATGCTTTGAATATTGCTGCCACATCTGGTCTGGTGCTCTTGCTATATATTTAGAGATTCTTGAAAAAATTCAAAAAAGAATCAGCAATATAATTGGTCTTGACCTGGCGTCTCAGCTTCAGTCATTTTCCCCATCACCATAATGTAGCCTCCCTCTTCCTTTTCTATAAATACTTTCATGGTAATTGTTCAGATGAATGCTTTTCTCTTTGGCATCTCAATATTTATGAATTTAAGCACAGTAGTAGATTAGCAGCAAGGTTTCTTCCTTTTACAGTCCTAACGGCCAAATGTAACCATAAGCTCTATGCTAACAGTTTCTTCTCTCACATTTCTCCCTTGTGAAACACTTCTGGTTTCTTGCTTTCCAGTCAACTTTGATTTTCAAAAATTAAACTGCTATGTCAATCATCTTTTTGTGTCTTCTTAATATCTGTTCTTTTATTGGCTAATCCTCTTAATGTTTTTTTTTTTCTTAGATTCTTTGCTTGGTGTGAAATGATAAAAGGAAAAAAGAATAGAAAAAAGAAAAAATAGAAAAAAGAAAAAATAGAAAGAAAAGAAAAAAAAAAAAAGAGAAAATAGAGAAAAGAAAAGAAAAAATAGAAAAAAGAAAAGAAAAGAAAAATAAAGAAAAGAAAAGAAAAGAAAAGAAAAATAGAAAAAAGAAAAGAAAAAATAGAAAAAAAAAGAAAAAAGAAAAAATAGAAAAAAAAAAATAAAAAAGAAGGAAAAAGAAAAGAAAAAAAGAAGGAAAAAAGAAAAGAAAAAAAGGAGAAAAGAAGGAAAAAAAGAAGGAAAAAAAAGGTCTACAAGAGAATGAATATTGATGAACTGTTAGTCAGAAGTCAGAAACAATGCACAGGCCTAGTTTATTCTAGACATGGTAATTGATGCTACAAGACTTCCTACATGCAGGCTGCGGAAGAATTATCAGAGTAGAAATTGGAATCTCCGAGCCAAGTTCAAATTCCAGCTTAGTCTGCTGCATTTACGTTCACAGAAGTATACGTGAATGTTTCTTTTCTCCTCCCAGAAAGGGATTAAGTAGTAGAGTAGATTGGGTTCTCTAGCCTTGGGTGATAGCAAATAAACAAAGGAAAGGAAAAAAGAGAATTGTGAATGGGCAAAAAAAAAAAAAAAAATACATCAGAAAAATAAAATAACAACAAAAAAAACAACAGAATAGAAGTAAAAAATAAGAAAAAAAAAAAACAGGAAAGAAATGCAAGGCAATGGGAAAATTAAGATTGGGTTGATCTAATATTTTTGTTTTCCAATACAAGAAATAACTTAAATAATTCTAATATTATCCCGCCAATTTTCATAATCAATTATTATGCTAATTTTTTTCAAAATTTGCTAAATTTAAAGAAATAAAAAGATTGCTAAAGTTTAAAACAAATGCACTAAAATTAAAAAAACAAACAAAAAAAAAACATTAAAAAATTATTATACTAAAATTGAAATAAAAACTCGAGACATGAGAAAGAAAAATCAAATTAATAATCCAGTTTTCCTGATTTTGATACATTCAAGTATCAAAATCAGGAAAACTGGATTATTTATACTTACTTTATGAGACTACTGTCCTCATTCTCTTCAATGGGATGTTCATTTAATCCAAGTTCTTGATCATCAAATTCATTTATTCCTAACAAGAGAAATGCAATTAGCATAATTATGAATAAAATTTTCTTTTCCTTGAAAGAATCTAAAAATTAATCATTATTATTATTAGTTATTTTCATAACTATTTAGCTTACATTTTTGTAAAATTCATATTAATACATTTTACCAACTGAAATTTATTTTATACGAAATGATACACATTTTAAAAGTTTTACTTTCCTATTTCTGGCCCATTTTTTAAGTTAACAATTATTTTTTATATGAAGTTAACAATAACATGACAACAAAAACAAAAGAATCTCTATTTTACATTACAATGATCAGATGCCAGTAAATTTAAATAGTACCTATATTCTTTCTTTCTTTTTTTTTTTTAATCGGTCTCACCACAAGAAAAGCAGAACAGCCATGGACACACAAGGGATTACAGAATGTGGAGGAATTAGGAACAGAAACATTAGTAATGAGTAGCAAGAGAAAAGAGTAATCAGGAGGACAGTAGATAGTGACTGATATTGCATTTAAGTTTTTGCAGATTAAAGTTGGCTGGAAAGTATAGAGCCAGAAGTGAGTTCCACAAGTGAGACGTGTGAGAAAAGAAACTGTCAGCATAGAATTTATGGCTATATCTAATTGGCTCAACTGTAAATTGGTGAGGTCTCGCCGATAATCTAGTATTGCACCTAAATTTATACAGTCCAGGTAACATAGGTTCATTTGAACAATTACCATGAAAGTATTTATAAAAAAGACACAAAGAAGCAACCATACAGCAGCGGGCAAGTGCCAGATCAGGACCAATAATATTGCTGATTCTTATTTGGAACTTATCAAAGAGCTCTAGGTAAATAGCAGAGGCACTGGATATATGGCAGCAATATTCTAAGCAAGGATGAATGCTAGACTTATAGATATGTAATATTCCGGAGAAGAAAATTGTCTCACCCGACACAGTGAACGAAATTTCTTAGCAGCTGACCTAGAAATGGATTTAATAAAGTCGTTCCATTTTATGTCAGCTGAGAATGTTAGTCAGAGAAGGTGCAATGAGTCACTTTCCTGGAGGATAGCATCAGCCATGCTGATGAAAGGCAGAGAGGGGTCTCTGAGTTGATTAACGGAAAGAAGTTTAGTTTTGGAGGCATTGAAATTGACGACAGTCTTGAGGTCATTTTTGACATCAGCTTCCTTTTTGACTTTGTTGGACTGATCAGCCTTACTATCTCGGCAAGAGTAAACGGTAGTGCCATCAGTGTAGATGCCAAGTTGAGAGCTGATGTCATCAGGAAGGTTGTTAATGAAGATTAAAAACTGTGTAGGACCAAGGATGGAGCCCTGGGGAACACCTGTGTTAGTACGAAAAGATGTAGATGAGTGGCCATTTAGGATGACATTCATATCACGATTTGATAGGAATGAGTGGATCAGCTTAAAAATGTGCCCAGAGATACCATAAATTTTCAGTTTATGGAAAAGACCAGAAAGCCAGACCAGGCTTTTGAGATGCCCAATGCTACAACCGAGGCTTTACTGTTTTTATCTAGAGACTGATAGACTTTTTCTGCAGTTAAAGAATAATTATTCTTAGTATAAATTTCAGTTCTGTTATTTTATATTGAATACTATATATATATGAAGAAAAATATACGGAAAAAACAAACAAAAATCCTTATATGCAATTATGCTGTTTTAAATGTTAATATAATGTCAACGTCGGACGTTTCGGTCTAATAAACCATCTTCAGGACATATTCATAAAATATAATTAACATTATCAATTCAACATGACAAAAACGATGGACATAAGAACAAGACTTATCCAAACAGATAACCAAAAGTTTTATTAGACCGAAACGTCCAACGTTGACATTATATTAACATTTAAAACAGCATAATTGCATATAAGGATTTTTGTTTGTTTTTCCGTATATTTTTCTTCATACTGTCGGATCTATATCCATATATTTGCTTACATATATATATATATATATATATATATATATATATATATATATATATATATATATAATGGACTCCCCTGTCGGTTTCGGGCCATATGAGAATCTGCCAGCTTATTGATTGAGTTATGAAAGTTTATGCGATAATATTAAGTGGCATTTAAGACCCACTAGTGATTTACAAAGGAGGCCACATATGGAGCAGGTGTGAGAATTGTGAGATGAGATCACTGTTAGATTGGCTGACCTTTTAGATCTTGCTCTCACTTCTTGAAGATGATTCAGATTTTTTTATTTTTCTTCAACAGTGAAATTAATAACAACCAACTTAAAGTGAGAAATACCCAATAAATTAACATTTATATAAATAATATTAGATAAAAATCCATTAAGAAAGTGTATGTGTATGTTTTATATATATATATATATATATATATATATATATATAAATTAATTGATTTAAAATATGTTTATTTCGCTATCTTAAATCAATTAATTTATAATATTAATGCTCTTTTAAATTTACATTGAGCACTATTTTGTAAAAATAAAAATATCTATAACAATCGGATTATATATCTTATATATATATATATATATATATATATATATATATATATATATATATGATGCATTCAGTGGAGGAGTGGCATATTCAACAACAAAAAAATTGAAAATTGCTTTTTCACTGGAAATTATTCATTATATATTATCCAAGTATTTTACAAAAATTAGACCTAATTACACAATATTTCAAGCTCAGTTTAGGTTTATAGTTCGGAACCATGCAATGAAATGAGGTAACAGCTATTAGCAAACTGTAGATTTGTCTGCACTGTGGAATATTACATTATTGTTACATAATTAATTACAGTGAAGGTTTTTTGTCAAAAGCACTTTATTTTTAGTCGTATATTAATTTAAAATATTTCTTTTTACATGCTTTATTTTTTAAATGGAATAAGATCATTCAAATTTCAGAATTTCGCTATTGCCCATCAAAATGAGTGGAAGAAAGCGATCTAAAAACAACAATGGAAAAGAGAGGTAACAAAGTGTAAATGAAACAGCTCCAGTTTGTTCAACTTAGGAAACTTAGCATTGCAGCCAAATTATTTGAAAAATGCTGTCAATAACACAGGAGAAAATCTAAAATATCTAACAACAAATCGACAATAGCATCAAAATTTATATCATTTTTATGTATTTGTTATAAATACATAATTGTCAACAATATTTCCATAAAACTTGATATTTCCTGTATTAAATTCTTAATAAATATTGTTATTATTTTACTTAAGTGTAAGGAAGCCCTACATTTACAATTCCTTATAGCTAACAATGAAAATAAATTTTGATCAAAACTGCCTAAACCTTTAAGCATGTATTGCCACAAAGTTATCAAGTGTTTAATACGCCCCTCCTTCACCAAATGTGTCGTGTGTGTGTCTGAATTATAATGATAGACCACAATAAAATTTATATGATGAATAGAAAGTTTGCTGTCATCAGTTTCAGCATATGTTTTTCTTTCTTCTGGAAATTAATTTCATGTAAAATTTATCACTTGTTTTTCTAGAGTTAAATGTGAGTAACTGAAACATGAGAAACTCAAACCACAGATAAGAGGAAGAACACTGTATAAAATATGGCATCTTGTATTGAATAATAATAATAATAAAGAAAAAAAGCAAGTGACCACCTTACTCTCAATAAAATCATCAATGGTCGTCGTGCTCACCAAGTCGACATTATTATCTGACCCCATTTCAATAACAGAGGCCTCTGAAGAAACCTCAAATATTTTCTCAATGTATGGATGAGGATTACAGATGTAGTTTGTGAAAACAGTGGCTACAAACTGGAGCAGCTCTTCATTTCGTCCCAGGCTTTCATCCCAACCACATTTAATCAACCAGTCCATCCATAAATGAAGCTCCATTTCCAGTTGGTGGAACAAACCAGAGTGGTATAGAAGCTGGAGAAAAAGAAAAAAGAAAAATTAAATATCATGACACTGTTGTTAAAAGAGGATCTTGCTCAATCAACAGAGTGACAGAACTTCACCAAATCAACAGAAAAATATTCCAAGGAGAAATTTCAAAACACCAAAATACTGACTAATGGTTAATCCACCCTGCCATGGAATGGAAATAAGCTACTGTCACTGCTTAAAACACATCCATTATGCTGATGAATCTAATTTGTTAGCTAAGGATGGGGAGTTCAAACCTAGGTAGGGGTCAGCATAATTAACAACTGTTTTCATAACACATTTGAAAACCATGTTGAAGACGGATTATGACAAATTCATGAAGGTGGTGGAGAATGGCCAATCTTCTGTAGGCTATGAGATCAATGAAGACAATGATCCCATCCTCAAAGCAGTTTTCTTGATCCTACCTTCTATTTTTTTTTTTTTTTTTTTTTTAATAATAACCAGCCTAGGAGTATTCTCAGATTTTTTGTAAACACCTAGGCAGACAATTCCACAGTTTATGGAGGCACTTCCAAAAATCAAGAATTTTTTTTTCTATATCATTCCACCCAACACAAGACAAAGCCACTAGGATGCAAAGGGGTTCCTAAGTGTTAGAGAATATGAGAAAAAACTACTAGTAAGGAGTGATGACAAAAGAACAAGAATTACGAATACAAACAATAACAATTGAGATTGCATGTAAATTTTTGAAGGTCAAATTTGACTGGTAAGCAAGAATTTGGAAAAAAAGTTCCATAAGTGATAAGTACAATTGAAAAAAAAACTTGTTACCAATAAATCTTAAGGTTAAATCCAGCCATTTCAACTGTAAAATGACGAGACTTTGCCGACAATCTAGTATTGTGTTTAAATTCATAAAGTCTAGGTAACATAGTGAAGCATTCATCCTAACAATTACCATGAAAGTATTCATAGAAAAGGCACAGGGAAGCTATATCACTGTGGTAGGAAATTGACTGAAGACTGAAGACTGATGCCAGGTGAGACCAATAATATTGCCGATTCTTCTTTGGATTTTATCAATAATCTCTAAATATATAGCAGGAGCATCAGACCAGATGTGGCAGCAATATGTAAAGCGAGGACGAATGGTAGAATTATAAATATGTAAGATAAATTCTGGCAAGAAAAATTGCCAAGCACGACATAGCGAACGAACTTTCTTAGCTGCAGACTTGATTCAATATACTCTTCCCACATCATGTCAACTGAAAATGTTAGTCCGAGAAACCGCAACAAATCAATCTCCTGGAGGTTAGCCTCAACCATGCTGATGAAAAGTAAAAAGGGGTTCTCTCAGATGATTAAAAGAGCCTTGCAGTTCTCTGACTTCAATCTAATGGCTCAATGGGAAAAAAGAAAGGAAAAGGGGGCTTGTAAATTTTAATACCTCAAGAATCAATTATTTACATTATTTACATTGTTTGAACTGTTATTTTCATTGTCATATTCTTGATGTTTCAGCTGGTGTATGCACTGGCCTTCTTCAGATGATTGGAATTTCGAACTGAACCCTTTAGGACACATGGGACAGTGGGATAAAAGCATTGGCTCGATCCAGTGACTTCACCCACAGTTGTGAGTTCCAATACCTGGCTACTGCAGCCGTGTACAAAAATTTGGAGAATTAAATTAAAGGGAGATAACTGAGACATCTGGAAGAGGCATGGCACGTGGAACTAGAACAATCTACCCCAGTGGATGAAATAATGGATTCAGTTCAAAATCCCCATCACCTGAAGAAGACTGGAGCAAACAATGGCCAAAACATTGTGAATATGGCAATAGAGATGAGGACAACAGACCAAACAATGTAAATAATTACAATACCTCATCTCAGAAATATAGACAGATACTCAAGAATCAAGTTAGTATCATTCCATCCCCCAGAGTTCTTTCCAGGCTCTATGCTTTGAATGTCTATTGGGTCTCAAGTTAACATCAGACTTCAAGTGAAACTCTTATATGATACATTACTAAAGATGCTGGAGAAAAACAGTTGGTTCATTCCACTACCGCAGAAAGCAACCAACTGTTTTATCTTTACACTAGAACTTTTTGCAACATAAAAAAAAAAAAAAAAATTATATATATATATATATATATATATATATATATATATATACACACACACACACACACTTATTATTATCCTAATATCTTAAAAAATATATATATATATATGGTGAATATCAGATTCTTGTTTTACCTGGCAGATAAGTTGTTTAATAACAGACAGCAGTTGATGATCATTGGTAATGGTAAGTAACATGTCCAACAGAAAATAAAGTAATGGTTGGCCATCTTCATTCTGTAAAATAAAAAACAGTTTATGCATGCATTATGATACTTGAATTTTTCAATAAAAATCTTTTTCAAATTGTCAAATATAAAACCGTAAAACCAAGAGTGCAATTGTAGACAAACGTCTTTGGAGTTAATGCAAATTCAAACTGTATATTTTAATTCCATTACATTTTTTTTTTTTTAAATCTGTGACCATTGAAAAATAAAGTTATTTGTAAAGCATCAACAAATTCAGACACTAATTTCAACAAGATTTTAACTCAGTTGATGACTTGTGTTATTTAATGCAGTCATACTCAAAAAATGTTCCATCTCCAGACATCAAAGGCTAAAGTAGCTATACCATTATTAAGAAACATTCAGTATCTATTGATTGATCAGCTAGCATTTAGGTGAAAATTTCTTTTTTTTTTATTAAAACAGTTTTTCTGCAAAATAGCCTTCCCCAAGTTCACAAAGCTTTAACACAAGGAATATCAAAAGTATTCATCTATGAACATTTAACTTAAATGTTCCTCTTTATTGACTGTTTAAAAGGACTTTTTGCACATTCCTCTTTACTGTTTAAAAACACGTTTTTTTCTTTGAAGTCCATACTTTAACTCGAAGTTGGTGCAAAGGGGAAGATAAAGGATACCAACTAGACAGACAAATGCACACAATCAGAAATACACATTACCATTCTTGCCCACGCTTTTAAGACACATGTCTAACTGATGAGAACTGACCCAAATCGAAAATACCAGCATTTCTGTCTTTTTGTCTGTTTTCTCTCAATCTCTGGCGAATTTTTAATAGTTACAGATGTTAGATTGATATACGTTCTTATTTGTTCTTTTATTTCATCATTCTGTTGGATTCCAATCCATATTTAATCTACATTTGTTTTTAACTTTCTATATATAAAAACAAATATAGATTAAATATGGATTGGAATTCAACAGGATGATGAAATAAGAAAACAAATAGGAATGTATATCAATCTAACATCTTTTAACTATCATTAAATATATATATATATATATATATATATATATATATATATATATATATATGTGTGTGTGTGTGTGTGTGTGTAAAAATATATGGATATAGATCCGACGTTGACATTATATTAACATTAAAACAGCATAATTGCATATTAGGATTTTTGTTTGTTTTTTTCCATATATTTATATATATATATATATATATATATATATATATATATATATTATATTTTCTATTTATTTTTGTTTTAATACTTACAAGTCCACAAATTAATCTTTTGGCGACTGTAGAAAAGTGAACAAGAAAAATTCACCTCCACCAAAATTCGGAATTTTTGTTAATCAATTTTCTACAGCCACCAAGAAATTAATTCATGGACTTGAAAGGATTAAAACTAAAATAAATAGACATAATACATCTAGATTATTAACCAGACATGCTTGTATGAAAGTATGCTGCCTATATAGATAGATAGATAGATAGATAGATAGATAGATAGATAGATCCAAAGACATAAATATATGTACACACACACACTTTTTAAAATAATCCTTAGGGAGTTTTAATTTTTATGTGGCACATGAAAAAGAAAAGAAAAAAAAAATTCATCCTTGAAATAATGGTTGTGCCATCTTTTGCCACAAAAGTGTTTTTGGTTGTGTGTATACAGTCACCTATAGTATAATATCTTGAGTTAGCTGAAAGGGGGAAAATGCCCATCACACCAGAGACTGCCATCAGCTGCCTGAAGATTGTGCCTCTAGTACATATAAAATTTAGTCATGACAACAGCATTAGATATATATCATGCACATTTTTCTATATGCAAAAATTAGTAATTTACAACTTCAATCTCAGCTTACCTTCTTATTCCAAGGAATTTTCCGAGCATCGGTGTCTGCAAAGAGCTTCAACAGATAAAGTCTGACTCTTGTTTGTTGATAGGATTCCTCATTCATTTTCTTTGACACCAGCTCATCACTAGTCTGACATTGTTTCCAAGTCTTGCAGAGTTTTTGCACTTGATCAAAAACTTCACCAGTAAATGGAAAGTCAGAAAAGGCCTCTGGCCAAAATGTTTGGTACAGGCACAGTATATGTTCAATCAGAATTACATGCTCAAGTGAATTAACTTCTGGCATATCTGTTAAAAGAAAACAAATTTCAAGGCTCACTAATTGTTATATATCAGTCATGTCAAGCTAACAATATATTCATACAATTGTAATCAAAATGTAATTGGATAAGTTACAATTAATTATTAATAGTTACTTTTTAATTTCAATATAGGTCATTTTTAAAAAAAACTTCATTCTCTACATAAAAAGTTTTATACACTGCCACCAATTAAGCAACTGATTCAATCAATTATTAAAAACTATCAGTAATGTCTTAACAGTAGAAAAAGGGGGTTTTCAAACACTTTATTAAAAATAATATGGATACAACATTTATTTTATAATTTTCTTGGTATATATTGTTCTTTCTGCATCAGACTAGTTGCCATCCAAGGCTATAGAACCTGGTCTGTCCTGCTATTTACTCATAGCTGGGGTGGGGAGAGAAGAAGAGGATTCATACTTTTCCCAAGCGAAATTAGCACATAAGTGAATGTAATGGATTCGACTGGGATTTGAACTCAGCTCTCCGATTCCTCAATCCGAGCTGCTATCCATTACTCTACTGTTTCTCCTATTATGCAGATGATATAATATACAAATATCTAAATATTTTCAGCTATCATCTGGTTCATACACCTCTCTGTTTTTTTTAACGGGAATAGAGGCTTATCCCTTGTTTCGTGTTTAGGATTGATTTTTCGGTTCCCTCAACTTTATACTTCTGATGTCTTTACCTGAAATTTGAAATTTTATTCAGTAATTATTATTATTTTTGCCGCTCCCAATGGTAGTAGATATGATAATCTATTGCCCAGTTCACACCCCTCCACAGTCTTTTGAACAGGAGTAGAGGTTTATCACTTGTTTTCTGTTTAGGATAGGGTTTCTGGTTATTTGAAAGTCTAATTCAACTCTATATTTCTAACATCTCTGCCTGAACTCTGAAATTTTATTTACTAATTAAATGTTGCCCTCTTCAAGTTTAGAATTAACAGTCTATCTTTCCTGAATAGCCCCAAAAATTTCACTTCTTGCCTTTTCTTATGTTAATACAACTCCACAGAGTAACTTTCAACCTTGAGTGGCCCTTGTATTGACATTGTAATATTCAACGCCACAACCAAAAACAAACTAGTAATGTTCTGTCATGACTGATCAGACCTTGAATTTTTGCTTATTACAACGAACAGGTGTTCTCAAAAGAAGGACCCTTGCCTTGAACACCTCTTGAGATTTAAGCTTACCTCAGACCTCAAGTGGAACTCATATAGGCGATCAATCAGTAAGGATGATGGGAAAATGATTGGTTCCTTGTACTGTGTCCGTAAGTACCTGACCAGTGCTACACTCTACATTTACAAAAGCCAGATCAGACAGACGTACATGTTCTGCCATATCTGGGCTGGTGCTGTCCAGTCCTCACTCCTGATTCAGTCTAGATAGGTTTCGAAAGAGCATTGGTGGCCACGTGGGTGATAAATTATTTTCCGCTCTTCAACCAAAAAAGTCTCATTATCCTCTCACTATTTCCATGGAAAATATACTGTCAAGTTACTTCAAACTTTCACAACTGAGACTTGACATGCTATGTACACTGGTAAAAACCATCACCATAGCCATCGTATTCAGTTAATAAGAATGAAGTTCCACTCACACAGCATCTTCCCAAGAACAGCTACTTTGTGCAATAGACTCCCAAGATGAGACTTTTCCACCTACGACAATCTTAATCTCTTCGAGTCTAGGGTTAACTATTATTTTCCCCCCCTCACACATCTTCATAAACTGCACCTCTTACCACTCATACAACCCACTTCAGTAACTATCTACCTTGATTGGCTCTCGAGCCTTGTACTGTGTGAAAAAAAAAAAAAAAAGTTGCTACAAAAACAAAAACATTAAGCTAAGAACTAGAGTCATGTTCTTAAATAGTCTTGCTAAATCTAAACTTCCATACAGAGGTCATACATGACCATGACACCCAACCCATTCAGAAATGTCTAAGCTGTCAACTGTATACAACTGCTTTCTCAGGTCATTGATCAAAAATGTCTTCCAGCAAATGAATCTTGTAGATTTTAGAGAAGACCATCTTTCATCAAAGCTTGTGGACTGGCACTACAGAATCACAAACAAAGAACTGTACCAAATAGCAGAAACAACATCACTTGAAGACTATCAAAAACAGCAAAATGGATATTGCATGTAACTTGAAGAGGAAACAATGGCATAATCAAGATGTTGACGTTCTACTCAACTCCAAACAAAAAGTTAGGAAGGAAACCCCATCAATACTGGAAGAAGTGATAACAGTGGACATGAGAAATCTATTTCCCAGACAAAAACTGTTTTAAGAGATTTTATAAATTTCTCTCATGGTCAGCACTAGCTGATTGGTCAATGAATGCCAAACATTTCCATATAAAGTAACAGCTAATATCACCATTACTTTAGAGTGAAGGAATTATTTGATGCGTTCGTTTAGTCAATTCTGGGAAATCACAAGTTAGAAGCTAGTGAATAAAAACTATAAAACACTTACCTCCTAATTTTTCAGAATCCAGGGCATGTTTCTGAGACAATCCTTTGTTCATTTCCTGCCAACTGTCAAAAATAGTTTTCACTGGTGGCAGTACCTGCAAGCAAAGTAGTTCAGATTATTCATTTTATGTGTTAATTCAATATACTTATCAATAATTTCAACTAAATATAATCTGTGCAATTTATATCGGCTTGACTAAGGTTTTCTTGGTCCACAATCCTGGTGGAAAACAACTGTTCAAGTAAAATAGTTGACTGAATGGAATTATAAAATGCACAGTGCCAATAATTATGATAGTTTGGTTTGGTTTTACGGCATATCAACCTCAATGGGTTATTTAATGCCGATAAAAATTTTTATTGCTAGTAATGTTTTTCTCCAAAAATCAATTTCTGGGAATATTTTTCCTTGAAGAAATCTATAGCTGGTCATATTTGTTCAAAGAATGTATATCTGTTTGTAATGCTGGTATTTTTTTTTTTTAAAGTATTGCTGGTAGTAATTTTTCCTTCAAAAATTATTGCTGGTAATAATTTTTTTTATTACAAAGTATTTCTGGTATTAAAACCTATTTTAACATTTGCAAAAGAATTTGGGTGTTACTGGTATTTTTTAAAACTTTTTTCATTTCCATGAAACAGGGATTAAACACTTCTACCTTTCTTTTCTTCAGGTGCTGATATGTCCACCCTGGGTCAGGGTGATTAACTCCACCTGGGAAAGTAGCACCAGCAAAATTGAGAGGTGGTTCCATGAGGATAAATCCTCAAAAATGCCTCCTTTCTTTGATCAGAGATCTTGCCCTGCTGGATGCAGTTTATTTTTTGTCTTACCCTCAGGATTATTTAATGCCAACAAAATTTTACTGCTGGAATCTATTTCTGAGTTTTTTCCTTGTCATACCCAAAGAATGTATATCTGATTGGGACATAGTTTGAATTTTTCTTCAAAAATTAAGAATAATTTTTTTTTATTAAAAGTCTGAATTTTTTTTACACAAGTTTGAGTTTAAATTTGCCCTGGGTGCTCCTCCAAAAATAGAAGAATCTTTATATTATATGTAAGACATTTCATTTTTGGGACATTTGAATCTGAAGAGTCCTTTGGAGTTCTAAACATGGCTCTATAGAAGAATCACTGTGCAGATATATTATTATACTCACTGTGGGACATGTGTGTATATATAGTTTTGTGTATGTTTTAGTTGTTAAAAGTCTGAGAACAAAGCATGTTTGCTATTTCTTTTCCTTTCGGCTATTCCATTCTGTCTGTGAGATATGATGTTATTATATCACAGACATAATAATGCCCATAATGGGGGAAACATCAATGGGAGAATTAATCTTTCTTCCATAGCTCTCTCCTATTATAATGTGATCAAAATAGAATAGTCCATTATTTATGAGGTGTTGGCAAAGACATTAAACATTTCTGTCTTTCCTTCTTTCCTTTACTCACTGAAACCAAGTAGTATCTGTGTTATATAAAGGCAACCAAAAAAGTCCTTGATGGTTTTTTTTTTTTTTTTGGAAGAAGTGATCACTGGTACACAAAGGAGTGTAGTGAGGATGAGGGTGAGGCCATTGCCCCTCACTGATGCACCATACCAGTCATAGCTTGAGAAGTGCAGTGGCAAGGAAACATGGTGGTGTCGAAACAGCTCGTTCTGAGATTTCTGCTTTATGACTTTAAGGGAGGCTTGTCTGCAGCCACATCAGGTCACTGAATACATAAAGTGAACACACCACCAATCATTGGTTCCAGAAGTTCAGATGGGGAGATATATCCCTTTGTGATGAACCCCACAATGGCCAGCCACAGGTCTTGGATGATGAGGTCCTGAAGGCAGCCATAGAAGAGGACAACAGCCATACCTGCGGTGAGTTTGCCATATGCTTCTAGGTTTCTGATGTAACAGTCAGACGTCATCTGCACCACACAGGGAAGGCATACAAACTAAGCAAGTGGGTACCTCACACACAGTTGGAAGTCAACAAGCAACAATGACTGATAGCTCACCAGCAACAAAAAGTGGGTATTGTATGACACTGTATGACATTGGTTGTTACCCTGGGACTCTGTGTCTCATACCACAAGACCACCTCTCCACCCACACAAGATGATGCTGTGTCTTTGGTGAACTAGTCAACATGTGGTGTGCTATGAGCTGCTACCAATGGGCTAAGCTGTCACTGCAGACCTGTATTAACAGCAGATGTAATGTGTGAAATAGGCACAGGCAGGAGCCAGCATTAGTTAATCGCAAAGGTGTACCATTCTTTCATAACAATGCCATATGGCGCAGGTGGTCAGGGTTACCATACAGCGACTTGGCTGGGAGAGACTGTGCCAGCCACCTTACTCCCTAGACCTTTTGCCAACAAATTAGCATCTCTTCCATTCCCTGAAGAACCACATTTGTGGGAAATCCTTTGCAAATGAGGCTGATGTAGCAGGCACTAACAGACTTCTTTCTACCAAGACACCTGATTTGAGAAAAGGTTCTAGATGCTGATGGGGATGACTTTGAGGAGAAACAGTATGTCAAATTTGCTGTATACCATTTTTTTTTTATAAATAAAAAAAACAGCAAGGACTTTTTCGTTACCTTGTATCTTTTCCTTTTTTCCATGCACTTAAAACGGAATAATCCATTATTTATGAGGTATTGGCAGGACATAATGTAGGCATGTACTAACTATGAGTGGAACAAGCAGAATTATAAATAAAGCACATTGCAACTGTAGAAAAGTATCTTTTTTAAAAATTTCATTTACTCTTGTCATATGATCCTTAAACAAGCCACTAAAATTTTCCACGTCAGCCTTTGTGAAGATCTTGCTGTCAGACAAGAAGGTTCCATCCGTGCAATATTGGATGATTGCTCCCAATTTCTTCATCATTCTCAGAACATACTGGAGACATCGATGCCTTATGCACAGTTCTTTATGCTGAAAATAAACAGAAAAAAAACAGAAAAAAAAAAAAAAAAAAAAAAACAAATAAAATAAATGTAGTTGGGTTTCACAGAGGAAATAAAGTTGGTTAATTAAACAATGTATCAATATTTCTTGGGTTATTAAATGCTGAATATCACAATGAATTAACAGATAGATAAAAATAGGTCCAGTCCATATTAAAAAGTCAAGTCACAAAGATAGATATAACTCTTTCATTACAGCAATTCGTATTGATTGCTTGGTTTTATATGGCTTATCAACTTGTTACGGGCTATTTCAAGCCAGAAAATATTTTTAAATTCTAATTTTTGCTTTTTTTTTTTTTGGAGATAATTGTTTAGTGATACAATTCTTACTAATTAACCCATAGCCGGGGGAAGAATAGATGGATTCATACCTTTCTGAAGCGTATGTGTACATAAGTGAATATAACAAACCCAACAGGAATTGGAACTCAGCTCTACGATTAACAATTCTGAGACATTATCCATTACACCACCTGCACATCCAAACTTACAGCACCTCATATCCCGAAGCAGTTACCCATCTAGGTACTTACTAGTCTTGACGTTGCTTAACTTCGGTGATCGTATGGGAATCAGCGTTTCAATGTGATGTGGCCGTAAGCCTAGCAATTTTGAAGAGAGAATTAAACCCACCAAATAAATTTAATCCTTTTCTTTTCCTCTATGTGCTATGTTTCTTCAGGACATGATCAATCATGGCCTTCCACGACTCCCCTGTAGCAGTTAGCAATGTTTGTCTTTACTATTAATCCATGTCCCAGTTCTGCGATACATTCACACAAACATGTTAAATAGGCTAGTCACCATTTCCCCTCTATCCTCAAACATCTCGTGAGTGTCAAATTTTTCAAGCCTTCTTTCCTCATTATTTGTTCTAGAAATTTCAATTGTCTATTTCTTATTCTAATTATAAGTGTCCTTAATGTTTGTATTTTCATAAAGACATCATCAATATTCATATATCCATAGTATTCTAAGCATTCTTCTGTAGAACCATATTCCAACCACCTGAAGAAGGCCGGAGTGTACAATGGCTGAAATGTTGTAATAAATATGGCGACAAAGATGAGGACAATAGTCTGAATAATGTAAATAGTGTACATAATACCTCATCTCAGAAATATAGACATATCAGAAAAATATAGACAAAGATGAGGACAATAGTCTGAAAGGTGTACATAAACCTTCTCAATAAATATGATGACAAAGATGAGGACAATAGTCTGAATAATGTAAATAGTGTACATAATACCTCATCTCAGAAATATAGACAGATACTGAAAGGCCGAAACGTTGTAATAAATATGATGACAAAGATGAGGACAATAGTCTGAATAATGTAAATAGTGTACATAATACCTCATCTCAGAAATATAGACAGATACTAGTTAATCTATGTGCGTGTGGGAGGCAACCTGTAGCCTTCCTCAGCTTCAACTTAGATATCTTCACTCTCTTTAACTGATCCACATTTACAAAGAGTCATCAGATATCATACATGTAAGTTACAAAATAATATTTAAATGATTGCTTTGAAAAAAGAAAAAAAAAAGATGAAAATCCAGAAGACATTAGTGCGATGGGCCAACTTACACTGACAGATACGATTATAGACTGCAGAATATCTTGAGGTGGAAAGACCACACTTTGGACCAATTCCAGCAGCTTTTCAACCGGGATCTTCTTGGAGGTCTTCAGAGGAGGCGGAATATCAGGAACAATTTCCAAAATCTAAAACCAACAAAAATGCGAAATAACATTCAATGAAATAACTTAATTAAAAGTAACTGATGACTAAAAGAAGATTGGCAATTTTGAGGAGTGTGGAATCACCTCTTAATTGATGTGGTTCCTAGGTCTATTCTGATCTGGGGTAGTAGCAGCTGTTAGGTTCCCAGCTATGGGCAAATAGTTAACAACCAAACTGGGGTCAAAACACTATGGAAGTATAAAAATACATTTTTATGCAAAAATACCAGCAATGCATTTTCAAAGTAAAAATTACCAGCAATACATTTTTGTAAAAAAAATTACTAATGCTCCCAAGAAAATTAAAGTTCAGCTTTAAATGATGCGTAAGGAGTTGATATGCAGATAAAATTGGTCCTGATCTGGCGTTCTGTCTCCAGTCAATTTCTCACAGATGTGCTGTGGCTTCTCTGTCTTTTCTACAAGTATTTTCATGGCAACTGCTCTGACAAGCTACTTTCACTGGTTCTCAAACTGCAAGAATTTAACTGTGCTACTAGACTGGCATCTCAGTCCCGCCCTTTCACTGTCGAAACGGCTAAATGTAGCCATCTCTTCTACTCCAACAGCTTCTTATCTTCCACCTCTTGTCAGTGGAACTCCCTTCTTATCTACCTGCTTCCCTGATAGCTATAACCTTCAAATAGGCATGGTAGAGTAATGGATAGTGGCTCGGATTGAGGAATCGGAGAGCCAAGTTCGAATTCCAGTCGAATCCATTACATTCATTTACATGCCTTGGGAAAGGTGTGAACCGTCCTCTTCTCCCCCAGACCATGTTCTATAGCCTTGAGTGGTAACTGGTCTACCTCAGAAAGAAATGGCAACCTACTGTAGGAAAAAAATCTGCCTTGTCAGTCATGTATCAAAGGATACATGATTGCCTATGCATTTATCACGCATGGCACATAACTGACTGCCTGATTCGAATGTAATATCAATTGACATCTTCTGATGCCTCAACCTTGGTCTCTGTTCTTCTCTTTATCCTTTTCCCAAATATTGCTCTTACTCTCTGTAACCCCTTGCATGCTTGGGGTGAATTGTTTAAAAAAAAAAAAAAAAAAAAAAAAAGGCATCTGATACAAAAACTAATAAAGTGTAAATTGGCAGAACATTAATAGAGTTCCAGGATTGAACCATGAGAAAATGCAAAATACACTAAAAACCTTTCCCCTCAATATGTCATTTAAACAGTGGCACATTCCTGCCCATGCATCTTTTATGCCATTAAATATGACATCTACCGTGTCAGTAACTGGAAGTGGATTAGCTCCCTTGAGAGATAATAGTTTTGTTACATATTTGATAAACATAGTTTTGAAAGGGCAGGACTGAGATGCCAGTCTAGTAGCACAGTTAAATTCTTGCAGTTTGAGAACCAGTGAAAGTAGCTTGTCAGAGCAGTTGCCATGAAATAACTGTTTTTCTCAATTCTAACAAAACTTTTACTGTTTCAAAAATTATGTATATATAACACATAAAAACTTTATGAACAGTTCTGGAATACTAGTAGGAACCCTTGCTTAAAGAAAAGACATTTTCTAAATGTCTACTTAATTTCTTAGGCAAAGAAATAGGAAAAACAAGCCAAGGTACATTGTTATATATATATATGACGATTGCATATAGAATGAAACAGACTGTCGGCTCTAAGTGTTGACTTCTATGTTCACTTTTATATATATATAAAAAATAAATAAATAATTTTATTATATATATATATATATATATATATATATATATATATATACACACACACACACATATATACAGAGAGAGAGCCTTTTTGGACCTCTGTGGGCTCCCCATCAAACTAGATATATGTTGCTGATCCTGTCACCATGACAGATATGATTACTTCCCTGACCAGAAAGGTTGCCTGAAGGAAGTAGAAGCAACTTCCACCTTCCTGTTTGTTCAGGTTTGCTATCTTTTCCTCTTTTCATCTCGTCCTTCTTGGAAAGACACAGGTCTTTCTTCTCTTCTGTTTACCCTCTCTCTATCGGAAAGATACAGTTAATCTTCTTTTCCTTTCTTTTCTATGTGCCCTGGAGTTGATGGTCAAGAATATTCCGTTCATTTCTGCCAAGCAAATCCAGTCCTCCACTTTGTTCTTGTTGCTTTGTTAACTATTCATTGTTTTTACATGTTAATTCTCTTAATATTTCGTTCGCAGAAACACCATCATGATGGCCTCTGCTATCATGATTGGTTTACTCAGCAACTACACCACATTTCAGCATTGTAAAATAAAAACAAACAAAAAACAATCGGCACATTGTTATTTTGAATTCAACCTAGCATCACAGTATCCTGATTTGGTTTCCCAACGAATTTCTGGATTTATGTAACAACATTCCACATGCGGCATATTCTTCATTCAGCAGGCTGTCATTTTTTAATTTTACTTACCAGTCCCAAATCACTTCATGCAAGTGATTTCTTTTGCGTTTAATTTATCCTTTCATCAAAAACTATAACACACAAACTTTTCCAAAGGTTTACCACTTGCATGTGGTTACCATGCTCTTTTTTTTTCTGGACTACTAATTTAACCACATTTTTATATCTACATACTCAGACTTTGGAACGTTTTTACATGGTTTTAACATTTCAGGCCTTACTAGGTGGCGACTCCTTTCAATTCTTACAAATCAACAAATGTACATATTTGAAATTAAGTTGTTGCTTAATTAATAAAACTTTGACTCTTTTATTAAAAGCTCTGCCTTTGTTGTAACTCAGTTTTTGTTGTCAATGTCTTCCTGTATATTCTTTATATTAAGGATTTCTTGATAATTAATGACCCCTCTGTAGGCCACTACAGACTGTTTACAGTAATTCATGCAGGTTAGTTTTTTTTTTGTTTTAACACTAAAATTCCACTCTTTGCTTCCATGATAAATCTACAGAGTAGAGAAAATTTGCAGGAATTTCATTATAACATTTCAAAGAGCATAATTGAAACTCCAGACTTTACTGACTCATGTAAAATCCCAATTTCAGCATTTCATATGTCCGTTGAGTTAAAAAGCAAATAAAAAAATCAATTGGAAAAGCAAACTTATAAAATCCAAAAGAGATATGCACAATTTACTTAAAGCAGTCACTTACTTTTTCCAAGAAATCCATGCAATGAAGCCATTTCAAAGAAGCTCGGGGTGTTGTGGATTTCTGCACCTGCATCAGAAATGGCTGCATTTGTTCTGGACATGCCTGGAAAATCTTCACAATCAGATCCTTCAAATAGGAGTCTTCAAAGAATGGCATAACATGAATGTCTTGGAGGAACAGACGAATAATACGATTTTGGTCACTGTGGAAGAAAAAATATAAAATAATACATTTATATCACATACTGGAAAGAATTCTATTTATAAAAAAAAAAGTTAGTAATTTCAGCATTATACAACCATACATACAAATCCAGTTTACTTATAATTTTTACCACAATGCTTTAGGCACAGTAGCCTCCAGCCTTAGTTAGGTATCTACTGCATTCAATAACCTTTCGAATGATCCAAAGAGTATACCATATTTCCTTGAATAAGTGCCCTCCATAATGAAGTAATTTTTAAACAATCACCTCTACCATAATGAATTAATTTTTAAGTAACTGCCTCCACCGCAAGGAATTAATTTTTAAGTAACTGCCTCCACCGCAAGGAATTAATTTTTAAGTAACTGCCTCCACCGCAAGGAATTAATTTTAATAACTGCCTCCAATGAAGGAATTAATTTTTAAGTAACTGCCTCCACCGCAAGGAATTAATTTTTAAGTAACTGCCTCCACCGCAAGGAATTAATTTTTAAGTAACTGCCTCCACCATAAGGAATTAATTTTTAAGTAACTGCCTCCACCATAAGGAATTAATTTTTAAGTAATTGTCTCCACCATAATAGGTTAGTTTTAGAAATCAAAGCCAAATAAAACTGATGTTGTGAACAGCATCACCTTCTCATTTGTTTTCGTATAACACTTTATAAATTTTACTTCAAACTCTAAATTGATCCACCCTCATTTCCTTTCCCAAAACTTTATTTGATGCTGTTCACAAAATAATTTTAATTGGCTTAATATCTTTTCAAAGTTTTATTGAACTTTTTTAACTTCAAGTAATGCTCCCTTCCTCAGTTTTTACAATCTATTGTTCTTTTGTTCTGTTTATCGCAATCATTTGTCACAAATGTTTAACAATCAAAATATATTTTTAAGGGCTCATTTATTTTGGTAAAAATCCTTTACCACTCCTGTTTGAAAATGTTAAAAGTCCCTACAAGATGTCTTTCAGAAAATCTGTAATCCATAGACAGACTGAAATGTGGTAGTTGATCATGTAGGGACATAAAACAGTGAATGTCAAGCCCTATGGAATAAAACCAAAATAAATGGGCAAGAAACAGTATTGGAAAATAAGAGAATTGAAAGAATCAGCACATATGCTATTCTCAGTTCAACAAATCAGTAGGTTTAAGACCACAATATTAAATATTTTATATATTTATTTCCATTTTAACATGCTGCATGAGTGGTAATTTATTTATTTTAATCATAAAAACAATGTAAATTTCTAATTATTTTAAGGTTGCGTCTTTTTTATTTCTTTGTTTTATTTTATTTTTTTTCTTTATTAACAATAATTATCAGCTGGGGAGATGAAACTTGAAAAAAAGTAAAAAAAATAACAAAAAAGAATGGAAAACACACCTTCCGAGTATCCACATAAAAAAAGAAAAAGTAAAAAATCCCCCATAAACAATTTAAATTAGAGCTCACACCATTGCAATTGGCTGTTGGTCAACTTCCAATCAAATGCATGACAGAGGGGTATGGCTTGCTTAATATAAGTCAGTGTCTGCAGGCTGTTCATTTAGATGGGGGGTGGGGAGTGCACATCAGAGACTGATCAGCTCTGATGGGGTCGACTTGGTGAGGGGAGTATGATGTTTGAAAGACCCGAAACTGCCGAATGACCCAATTCATAACATCACTGATGACGCCCTCTAGTGCTAAAGAGTGTATATTCAAAAGGGCTCTAGAACTGATATGCCAAAGAATCAAAACACTGGTAAAATAATCTGGACATGGAGAATTCAATTCTTGGATTAAATAGTGGAAAATATACCCCCCCCCCAGGCACGGTGGAGACTGAATCAAGGTAAGGATAAAAAACAAATTCTGATGAAGCCAATGAATCCATTTAAAGGTTTTCGAATGTCCCAAGTACAAGACACAACAAAGGATGCATGCTACAGAAATGGCTGGTTAATTGATTCTGTTTAGTGGCATATGTGTTATTTTATACTGAAATTTAAATATCCCGCATGCAATATTATGCCTCTAACTACAGATACCTTGCACATAATTTTATGCTCTCAGGGTAAAGGTATGTTTTTTTTACATATATAGTTTGTACATCATAAAATGTACTGTGGGTAATTTCATTATAAAAATAAATTTTTATATATATTTTTAGTGTTGCATTATCATTTTGCTATAAAAATGTACTATTGGTCATTTCATTATAAAAATGCATTTTTATATATATTTTTAATGTTGCATTATCATTTTGCTATAAAAATGTACTATTGGTCATTTCATTATAAAAATGCATTTTTATATATATTTTTAATGTTGCATTATCATTTTGTTATAAAAATGTACTATTGGTCATTTCATTATAAAAATGCATTTTTATATATATTTTTAGTGTTGCATTATCATTTTGCTATAAAAATGTACTATTGGTCATTTCATTATAAAAATGAATTTTATATATATTTTTTAGTGTTGCATTATCATTTTGCTATAAAAAATAAAATAAAAAATGAATTTTTATATATATTTTTAGTGTTGCATTATCATTTTGCTATAAAATGTACCATTGATTTTTGTTTGGAGGTTCACTATTAGCACATAGCTGGGACCCTAACAGGTGCTACCACCCAGAGTAAGGATGGATTTGATAACTTCAGTTAAGTGGTGATTTGCATGCTCCCCTAAACCTCCAAACTCCCAATCAGAGCTCTTGCTGTTGGATTTAGTCTATCGTCATACCCAGGACATTACAGAAATGGCCCAAATGTGATAAAAACAAAAATGATGAGGTGACTGGTCTGAGAATTGTTGTAAAACAGTAAAGAGAGCTGATCTCAAGATCTTTACTATGATTTGTCCTCATTAATCCACATTTACTTCTACACCACTAACATGGTTTTCAATGCTTTGCTGTTATAATTGGAATGATTCTTGTGATTTTCGATCTTAAGTCTTTGAATATGTACATGGTTTAATTTGAATTCAGAACCACTAGAGTAATTGACCGATTCAGTACCACAGCTTTGATTGCCTGACCACAGCCAATTGGATATGACTCCTAGAAGCTTACCATTTAAAGTTTAGTGAAGAAAAAGAACAAAAATTAGAAATCTGAAGAGGTGAAATGCGATTTCATTTAATGCCAATAATCCATTTCACGGCAAAGCTGGGTTTTGTTTCCTTCATTGGCAAAATTTAGTTCTTTCTCTTGAAATGCAACTCTCTTCAGTTTCTGTTCTTGCTATTGACACCAGTTAAAACATATTGACAAATTTGCAGCCATTATATATATTTTTAATTTGCATGAGTGTTTATCAAGTCATATCAGGCTTGCCAATCTGCACGTACAGCCTTTTCACATTGCAAATGGCATGTTAAGCATTGTTGTCTTTTTTTATCCCTGTAACTGCATTAAATGTTTGTTACATTTACAGACTCTGCATATCTGTTCATGAACGGGAGTATCGTGACCAGGTACCAGGAGGGTTATTTTCTTCAAGTTTGAATGAGTCAACCTATATGACGTTGTAGCAATCATTTGGAGACTTTTAAACAGACAGGATTTACCCAACAGGAAGATATTTATAACTGGGATACACCTACAAAGTTATGCCCTGCTTTTATCAAAGCCTTTCACCACTTTGTGCACATTTGGCTGTGATGGATGTGCCCGGTATATCTTTTATCAGACTAAGTGTCATGATGGGTTTATTGGACTTAGTACATTCATACCCCAGCATGACTGTTAGTGTACTGCTTTCTCGCTTAAAAAATAAATATTGAAAGATACACCCCCATATTAAAAGTTAGCAAAATAAATAAATAAAAAAAGTTAACCCCAAACTATCCAGGCAAATTTTTAAGAGAATTCTAACCCAGTTTCCAGTCAGAAGTTGCTGCTTTTACAGGAAATCCAAATTGAGAGGTCTATTTAAATATTCACATATTGTTACAATAGAATTTAATGAATTTCCAATTCTCCACAGATTGAATTTTTCCATTTCACTCCAAAATCCACATAACAGTTTGAATAAAACTGAAGATTACCTGGATTAATAGAGGAAGGCTTGAGGCCAAAATGGTCAAAACATTGTGATAATGGGGACATTAGTCAGATTGTAAATGATAAAGAAAAGAAAAAAATACATATATTACCGTCCAGAAGTGCCAAATGTCTTATCAAAAAAGATGATTCCATTTTTAGGTGATGTGCAGAGTTCCAAAAGCAGCTGGTGCACAGTTTTTCGCACCATCTCAAGAGCAGGTGTTTGTTCAATCTCTTGGAACTAATGAAGATTAAAAAAAAAAAAAAAAGTTAAAATGAGTAAGAAATACTGAGGTAAAAAGTGCAAGCAAACCTACAAGAGTATTGATAAACATTTACAAAACTGTTCGACTTAATATACAAACCAACCCGCATAGCACAGGCATTATATATATATATATATATATATATATATATATATTTAAAAATTATAACATAAATATGTTATAAAATCACTAAAAAAAAGCCATTTTGTTTCAGCACCTCTGGTGTCTTGTCAAGTGATGATGTTGAATGTAAAAAAAAAAAAATAATCTATTTGGCTGAAAATGTATTGCAAGTACACTAATTTCAGAATCTTTAGTAAATTTGTGTTCAGTATCATTAACCTACCCCTTTTCCTTACAAAACTACAACAGATACAATGTAGGCTAATTAAAAAAAAAATATAATGATAAACATTTTAAAAAGTGATGTAAAAAAAAAAAACACACAGAATGTCAATCCTGTAACAGAGTAAAGTTTTCTAGGATTACCTCAACAATTTTCTTATGAAATTTCTTCCAATCTTTTGGCCCAAGCCAGTTGTAAACTCTGGCCAGATGAGACAAAACTTCAGATGAAAAGACTTTCACTTTCTCACTTTTTGTTATGTGTTCGTTCTTTACAACCTGAAGAAAAAAAAATCACAGCAACAAATATTACAAAGGAGGAAAAGATTAATGACAGAATGAATAATTATATTCCCATTTTAATTGGTTTCTCCCAAGACAACACATCTCTGGACTCAAAGACTCTGATTCAAAGAGTAAATTTTGTCCAAAGATTTCAGGTTCCATGCTTTCAATCATAATCCTACCATTATAAAGGCCAAGTGAAAGGGAAAAAAGATCCTGATTTTTTCTTTCATTTTTTTTTTGTTTTAAAGTATTTATACCATATAACACCATAATCCACAAAGCACAAAACAAGTAAAATTTTTCAAGCTCAATATAGTATTCAGTTGATAAATTCCAGTAAAATTTATTTTAGTGTACAGATAAAGATTGTATTTAACTCCAGAGTTTTTGTGTGTTTTATTGCCAAATGCTCCAAAATTATAAAGAAACTGGAACAGCCAGCAATAGATTTACATATGGATGAATATCTTCAGTTCAATATACAATTTTTTTTTCCTATTGAATATCAATGCTTATCATAATATTATTTTTCTTCCCCCACCCAACCATAGAAATTAGCCAAACACTAATAATGTAAATCTAACCAACAATCAACACACATATAGACACCACCAACTAGAAATATGATAAACATACACACACTTTCCAGTCTTTCTCTTACTACCATCTTCAGGAATTAAACAGATGGACACTACCAGACAGATGCAAAAATACACATTAACACCACAAGAAATCTATCTGAAAAATGAAAAACAAATAATATGGAACTCAAAGTACTGGAACATTCTCTTCTATAACTCATTTCCAAAAATTTCTGATGGAGCTTAATTAAAAGCTAAACATGTTAAAATTATAAATACTTCCTATTTGTTCCTTATTTTATCATTCTGTTGAATTTAATCCATATTTGATTCCAGTTCATTATAATGTAGGTGCCTCCATTTTGTTGCATGATGAAAAAAAGCCCCAAACTTATTAAAAACAAAGTTTTATTGCAATAATATTTATTTTATTATTAAAAGGAAAGACCAAAGTATTATTATTAAATATTTTAATCTTTTCTAGCACATTCGAAATTTTGTTTTTTACCCCTCAAGGCTATTTTAGAACATGACTAGAGTTTTCAGATTACAGAGTTCAACAAAACTACTAGCTCAGCATTGTATTTTAAATTTCACTATTTCTGATTACTCAATACTTTGGCATTGGAGAGAAAAAAAAATCTATTTAAGAAACTATTAAAAAGTGATCTTTCCAATGATATTTTTCTTTCCAAAAATATACTTTTCTAATTATCGAGTTCAGAGAGTGATGAAAGTGGACAATTGTCAGTCAGGGAATCTAACCAAGTAGTTGTTTTTTTTTTGTTTTTGTTTTTAGGTGAGATATGAAAGCCCATGGCACCATTTTCCTTTGGGAATATATCTTCAGATATAGAAGCTATCTAAGGCTTGTAGTACACATGCTGCGAAAAACCCAGGACTTGCAGTTTCCTATTTAAGGAATATGTCCTTGGTAGTGACATGGAAGGTAAATCGAGCCCACTTGAATCTCCATTGGAAATTCTAGATATGAGTTCCCCAGAAACACAGAATCCTCCAGCAACTAAAGTTTCAGTTGGAAATTATTACATGTAAGACCCTTTAACTCTTCACCATTTTTACACTATTTGTTGCTGAATACATGTGTTATAATTTCTCTGTGTGGGACACATGTAAATATGTGCATATAATTTTGTGTATGATATAGCAGTATAAAACTCTCTGAGAACAAAGCATGTTTGTGCCATTCCTTTCTTTACAGCTGTTCCATTCCATCAGTGTATTATGGTGTTATTATATCATGGATATGATAATTCCCATAATGGGAGAAACACAAATAAGGGAGTATCCCTTCTCATATAACACTCCCATCAAGATTATTTAATATTTTCAAGTTACAGATTTGGAGAAAACTACAAGCTCAGCTGATTCTATTTTCAATTTCCTTATTTCCTATAATGAGTTTGTTATAATGGATCCAAAGACTGCAGTATTTTGAGTGATTAGAATTCTTTAATTCCACGTTCTGAGTTCTCATGATGGTAAGTAACAAGAACACTGTCATACGGTTAATCAGGTCTTTCCAAAATCTATTTAAAAGGTATGACATTTGGCAAAAAAAGTAGTGGTCAGTAATCAAAACAATGGCCAGAAGATGTGCATGAAGAGTCCAGACCTGATCTTATAGCGTTAAGTATGTCCACTCAAAGTTAAGCTCTTTAGAGAGAACTTACTCATGCTAGTAAGCAAACTGCTGCAGGTGGAGATCATGATAACAAAAAACAAAGTCTGAGTGAAAAAGAAAAATAATAAAAGAAACAGATAAATTTACCTTGTCTAGAAGGAGTGGCACAACTAATTCAATGACTGAAAACTTATCAACACGCAAACCAGCAAATATCTTGGCCATCAGATCTGGAGAGAAGACAAAATAATTTTTATTCAACAGAAAAGCACAAACAATATATTTATGTAAGAAAAATGCTTTATTGATCATTTACTGACCTCAAGCTTTTAACAATTTAACAATGTGTAGATCAATTATTGGGTGGAGTTATAAATTTTGTTTATCAACTTCATTCTTCAAAAAATGAAGTACAGTTAAAATTTATTCAATGACATAGCTTCCCTGTGCCTTTTCTCTAAATACTTTCATGGAAATTGTTTTGATGAATTTCTCTCTTTGGTACATAGACTTTGTGAATTTAACCACAGTACTAGATTGGTGGCAGGGTCTCATTTTACAGTTGAAATGGTTAAATATAGCCGTAATTTCTATGTTGATATTTTCTTCTCACTTGTGGACATCTTCTGGCTTCTTGCTTTCCTGTCAATTTTGATCTTGAAAAATTTAAATGCAATATCAATTGTTATCGTCTGTCTTCTTAATTGTTGTTTTTTCATTGTCTTCTTTCCTTAATAGGATATTTTACTCATATTTACCAACAATCAGAACCATTTGTTTTTTAGTGGGTTTTATTGCCTTACTCAGGGGTTAAAAAAATAAGATGTATCCACCATTATTTGCAACAACATGTTGTCACTTATCAGGCAGCTTTTGTATAAAACTCTGCAATTTTTGATGTGGAAAAGTTTTCTATGAATTCTTAAATAAAAGTAAAGTTTAATCAGTATTACACATGGTAAAATGAAAGCAGAGTATATAAACTTGACATATGATTCAATTATACGTTAGAATTACATGGTTTCTATGAGAATTTAGAAAAAGTGGAAAATGAAGGGTGTCAGATAGAGTTCCTTCTTCATAGTGCTGAGCCCAGGAGAGACTGTTGCTAGCTGGCCAAGTGTTTCCTCTCTTATGGAACTTGAACTCCCATCTCCTGCCTGCTTATTAAGTAAAAATCATAGTTCCCAGCCATAACCGTCATTCGCCACAACTTATTCAAAAGT